ATACGTTGATCATACAGCCTTTGTTTAAAAAACACATTAGTGGTTATTGTCATTAGTTTAGAAAATGAGTACACTTGACCCTCCAACAACAAGGGTTTGAACTGCACATGTCCACTTACACATGGAATTGTTTCAATAAATATGGTACAGCACTATAAATGTATTTTCTCTTCTTTATGACCTTCTTAATATTTCTTTTCTGTAACTTACTTTACTGTAATGCAGTATATAATGTACATAACATACAAAATATGTGTTAATCAACTATTTATGTTATTGGTAAGGCTTCTAGTCAACAGTGGGTTATTAGGTACTTAAGTTTTGGGGGCACCAGAAGTTCTAAAACCTGCATTGTTTAAAGGTCAACTGTACCGGGCGCCTGGGTGGCTCAGATGGCTAAGCGTCTGCCTTCGGCTCAGGTCATGATCTCAGGGTCCTGGGATCGAGTCCCGCGTCGGGCTCTCTGCTCCTTGGGAGCCTGCTTCTCCCTCTGCCTCTCTCTCTCTGTCTCTAATGAATAAATAAATAAATAATCTTAAAAAATAAAAATAAAAAAAAAATAAAGGTCAACTGTATATGTTTCAGACCCTTTGTTAGTTTCTGGGATAGTAAACCAATGATACTGTCTCTATCCTGGAGAAGTTTATTGTGTATTGGGGAGGGTTGGAGGTTTCAAAGGTTGAGCTCCTTGGAAAGTAGACTCTGAATTAGAGAGAGTGTTGCATGAGTTTTGTTACAGAGTGCTTTGGGATCACCACCTTGGGAGAGAAGAGGAATGGGCTGAGGGAGAAATTGAGTTGTGATACTATCTTAATGAAGGCCTCAGCCAATCCTGTGGAGAATGTGAAGCTGGGAACACCCTTCAGAATTAGATTAAGTTGGGGTGAAAGGCCCTGATTTTGCATATGGACTACCCTAGGAAGAGGATATGACACTGAGTAAGGCAACTCTTACAGTGGAGGCAGTTCTGAAGAGGATCAACAGCTGAGTGTTATCTTTTGGTAGTACTGCTCAGCAGCTGGGACTACAAATCCCAGGTATTTGGTATTATCACAGTGTCCACCATAAAGAGTCAGAGTCAAGATTAATACTTATAAATGAATCATGTGTTGTGTAAGCTCAGAGGAATGACTGACTAATTGCTAGAAGGAGCTATGAAAGCTTATGGAAGGGATGACGCTTGAGCTAGGTTTTTTGTTTAAGATTTTATTTGAGAGAGAAAGCACATGTGCACACATGAGCAGTGGAAGGAGCAGAGGGAGAGGGAGAGAATCTCAAGCAGACTCCACGCTGAGTGTGGAACCTGAGGCAGTGCTCAATCTCATGACCCTGAGATTAGGACCTGAACCAAAACCAAGAGGGCTGTCAACTGACTGAGCCATCCAGGCACCCACTGAGCTAGGTTTTGAAGAATGAATTAGTAGGTTTAGAAAGGGAAAGTCTAGTGAATGGGACATTTTTCATTGAGTCACTGACATTTCATAGCATAGTCAAAATGATTTGTTTGAAGGACAAAAGGTTAACTGTATTAGCCATTCTTTAATTTCTAGCAATTATGATAAAAATCATGAGGCTGTTTCCAAAATCCTAGTTTATTTCCATGGTGATAATTTTTTTTTTAAACACTTAAATCCCAGTATGCTCAGGCTTAAGACTAAGCCAAGCTCATCATGGCCAGATCCTCGAAAAGATAGGCTGAGCTTGAGTGAGAAGCTTTTTTTCCAGGAGTCCAAATTGGATTTGGTCCCTGCGTTGTCCCTTGTTCTTGGGTCTGGAACAGATGAAATGAATTTCCTTAATACTAAACATGTTCTTGTTTGTTGCTTAGTATGTTCCCTCCTAGGATTGAGGGTGTCCATGGGAAGTCAGAAGATAGATTAAACTGGGGCTCTACCACTTATTACTTCTTTGACCTTGGGAAACTCGGTAAACACTTGATCCTGTTTTCTCATCCTTAAAATACAGTGATGCATAATATCATTTTAGGATTGTGGGATAATGTATCAGAGCTTATAAACAGGTGTTTCCTAGGATATTTTATTACTACTTAAAATCCCTTTGTGAAATATGTGTGATGTTAGGTTTTTATGTTAGGATAAGATTTTTAAATTTTTTACATTTTTATGTTTCTTAAGATTTTATTTGAGAGAGAAAGAGAGAGCACGAGCAGGGGAGGAGCATAGGGAGAGGGACAAGCAGACTCTGATGAGCACGGAGCCCGATGGGGGGGCTTGATCTCATGACCCTGAGATCATGACCTGAGCCGAAATCAAGAGTCAGATACTTAACCGACTGAGCCACCCAGGCACTCCAGGATAAGATTTAAAAAAAAAAAAAGATTATTTATGTATCTTAGTGTGCACCCCAGAGAGAACAGGGGGAGGGGCAGAGGGAGAGAGGGAATTTCAAGCTAACTTCCCGCTAACTGGGGAGCCCAGCGTGGGGCTCCATCTCATGACCCATGAGATCATTACCTGAGCCGAGATCAATAGTTGGACGCTCAATTGACTGAGCCACCCAAGCGCCCCTATTAGGATAAGAATATTAAGAAGCAAATTTTGATTGTTAGGAGCTATGGATTTGGTCTGTAGAACCTAGTGCCCAAATTAACTCTAAAATCTTCAATAGGAGGATGACTGTCACAGAGAAAAAACTATTACTTAGCTTCTGAATCCTGATACATCTGCTGTATAGATGTCAGATGTACATGAACAGATGGCTGGTTGTGGGGATGAATAAGAAAATGGATGGCAAATTTAGTGTAATAACTATTACTCCTCAGTTTTTGCTGTGCTGATGATGGGTCAAAAAATGTAGTCAACAGAGAGTGAAGTGGATGTGATGGGGCTGTGACTCAAGACAGCAGTATGAGAGAGATTGCAGTCAAAATGAAATGGTCTAGACATCTAACCCCTAGCACAACTGTCATTCCAAATGAACTGTTGAAAAACAAATACATAGATAGAGCCACAAAGGTCTAGACTTCTGTTAAGTACTTCCAAGAATATTTTCCCTGGAAAGGAGAGTCACCAGTTAATAGGGTAAAGGCTCAATCTGTACACTTCGTGACACCTGTTAAATTGAGAAGGCAGGAAACTTCAAGCAGATCTCATTACTAAAAGAGAAATGATGTTTATGTGAAATATAGCCTCTGGTTCCAAGAGAATGCATTAGAGTCATTTTAAGAGCCTTTCAAAATACAAATGTCTACATCCCAACCCTGGACATTTTGGTCCTCATTTCTAGAATGGGGCCTGGGGGGTTTTATTTTTGAAAAGCTTGCTAGCTAATTCTGATATGGCTCTCTTGAACCACTGGTTTCAGTGAGCTTTGTTTAATTGGAATTATTAAATTCCCGGATGTTGGGATAAAGAACTAAGTGTTGGAATTTTTTCCTGGGGGGAGTTTAGGGGACAGAATGTTGATTTTTGTAAAACCATTAGGTATTTAGGGACAGCTTCATCTTTTCCAGGGTTGCACAAAATGTTTTGGTTATTAGAATAACTGGAAGTACTGAAGGAACACTAGAACGTTGTGGGGAGCACCTCTAAGTGTTTGATTCTATTATATGAATGAGGTATGATTTACTAGAAGAAAAAACTGTTCCATCAATGTGTATATAATAGAAAAATCATCCTGTCACAAAATCCAGATAAGTATGATTGGCTATTTTCTGAGATTTTTTATCTATCTTTATTTATTTATTTTTAAGATTTTATTTATTTGACACAGAGAGACACACAGGGAGAGGGAACACAAGCAGGGGGAGTGGGAGAGGGAGAAGCAGGCTTCCCGCTGAGCAGAGAGCCCGATGTGGGGCTTGGTCCCAGGACCCCGGGATCATGACCTGAGCCAAAGGCAGATGCTCAACGACTGAGCCACCCAGGCGCCCCCTGAGATTTTTATTAAAAGTACATAGTTTAAAAAAAAAAAAAAAAGTACATAGTTTACTCAGTGGTCTGCTAGCTAAGTGGTAGCAGATACCTTAAGTTTAAGGAAAATTTATCAGAGGGACAGTGTTTACTTTTGAATAGATTAACTTTTTTTATGCAAATCTGGGGAGGGGCGGAAACCAAACTTTTGTACTTGTTGGAACACTTTGGTCCAACTCATTAAGTGCCTGGTTTAGATACTGGAGAGGAATCATTCATATGAGGTGGGGGATTTTCACCAAAGATTTTCTGTAATGTTCCCAGACAAAGATAGGTAAGTAGGGGACCATAAAGAATGGTCTTAAGAAGTAATCTCAAAGAGAATGTCAGGGCACCAGAATCTCAGATTTGGAGATGGTAGGAGGGACATGCATAGTTTAAAGAACATTTAATATTACAACATTTTATATACCCCCCCAAATAGGGCAAAAAAGTTTTTATAATGTAAAATACAGAAAAGAAAGCCTGACAAAAATTTTAACTTCTCAGGTGGTTGTGACGACAGAATATCATTGTAATTTTTTTTTTAAAGATTTTTAAAATTTATTTATTTGACAGAGAGAGACACAGCGAGAGAGGGAACACAAGCAGGGGGAGTGGGAGAGGGAGAAGCAGGTTCCCTGCTGAGCAGGGAGCCCGATGCGGGGCACGATCCCAGGACCCTGGGACCATGACCCGAACCGAAGGCAGACACTCACTGCCTGAGCCACCCAGCTGCCCTTTCATTGTAATTTTTAATGGGTATTGTGGATAACCTCCTAGATCTGGCATAGTGGACCCAAAATCTTCATTAAAAGGGAACTTAAAAAAACAAAACAAAACATTGTTTTAAATAAGGGATGATTGTTGGTGGGATATGAAGTTTAACCTTAAATTATGGTACTAATAATTCAGCTCAATTTTAGAAGGTCTTTTATTATATAGAGTTTTAGGATATTGAATGAGAGTGAACATTATGCTATAGTTTGGATGGGACTAAACTTGTACAATGACATTTTTTGAAATTGTATTTTAATTTACATTGTATTCTGTGGTCCTTAAAAAGGTGATAATTTTTTCTTCTTTCAGCTTGCTGAAGCAAAGACTCATTTTGAAGATGTTTAATAAGTCATTTGGAACACCCTTTGGGGGTGGCACTGGTGGCTTTGGCACAACTTCAACATTTGGGCAGAGTAAGTTTTACAAAAGAACAAAAGAAGGGGAAAAACTTAAGCTATTCTTATTAAGAACAAATCCAATCTGATGGCTGAAATAAAAAACCCAAATACAAGTGCTGGGAGGATGTGGAGAAAAAGGAACTTCCTTTCCCACTGTTGGTGGAAATGTACAGCCACTGTGGAAAACAGTGTGGAGGTTCCTCAGAAATTAAAAAATAGAATTAGCGTACAATCCAGTAATTCCACTACTGCTTATTTACCCAAAGAAAACCAAAATGCTAATTCAAAAAGATATATGCACCCCTATGTTTATTGCAGCATTATTTGCAAGAGCCAAGATATAGGAACAACCCGAGTGTCCATAGACTGATGAATGGATAAAGATGTGGTATATATACAAAGGAATATTACTCATAAAGAGTGAGATCTTGCCATTTGTAGCAACATGGTTGAACCTAGAGGGTATAGTGCTAAGTGAAATAAGTCAGAGAAAGACAAATACCATGATTCCACTCATATGTGGAACTTAAGAAACAAAACAGATGAAGAAAAAAGAGACCAAAAAACAGACTCTTAAATACAGATTCTGAAACTAATGTAACACTGTGTGTTAATTATACTTGAATAAATAAATTAAAAAAAAAATATCATTCTGATAGCTTCAGATAGGAATTTTATTCATACTTTGGTCTTATAACAAATTCTCTTTGATCAATGACCGGATAAGATCTTGTTAGAATTTTCTAAGAAAATAGAAATAAGTTTGGAGTTTTCATGTTTTTTTGATCATTCATAGAAGGTATTTGAAATACGTTTTTATTTTTTTAGAGAGAGCATACACATGAGCCCGGGGGGTGGGGGGGGAGAGGGGCAGAGAGAGAAAAAAAAAATTTTTTTTTTTAAGATTTTATTTGAGAGAGAGAGAGGGCACAAGATGCGGGGGTGGGGGCAGAGGGAGAGGGAGAAGTAGATTCCTTGCTGAGCAGGGAGTCCCGACAAGGGGCTCGATCCCAGGACCCTGAGATCATGACCTGAGCCGAAGGCAGGCACTTAACAGCCTGAGCCACCCAGGCGCCCCTTCCTTTTGTTGTTGTTGAACATATTTCCTGTCATAGAACTATGGAATTAGAATCTTGGTTGGAACCTGAACATGTGTATTCTGAAAAACCTTCCCAGGTCATTCTGATGTGCTCCCCTAAAGAAGGATCATTCATCCCAGTGACTCTGGAATGTATGATGCCTAGAGAGAATTTAACACTTTAATTTTGATGACTTGACTTTTGTCTGTAGCTCACAATCACTAGTTACCTTGGTACTCTTTTTTAACCTGTCGACATCTATAACTTTATTGAAAAGTCACACCTCTTCACTTTGTTTTTTTCTCCTGGGACAGTGAATAAAAGGTCTGGCTTAATTTTAACTCTGTAATTTGTAGCCTGATGGAACTTTGAAAAAATTATTTTCAGATTAGACCAGTGATCCTATTCAAACACAAAATGTTAAGAAATATTAAAATCCTTTTCATTAGGTCACCTGATTTAGATTTTATTTTGACCCTGGATTTTGCTTTTTCAGACACTGGCTTTGGCACTACTAGTGGAGGAGCATTTGGAACATCTGCATTTGGTTCTAGCAACAATACTGGAGGCCTGTTTGGAAATTCACAGACCAAACCAGGTAGGGGTTTTATTTGGAATACAGTGGTTTATTTATAGCTGGTATAGGACTTCCTTTAGTGGTTCCAGTCCATCTATTTAACTGTTTTTTTCCTCTCCATCTATCCAGGAGGATTATTTGGTACTAATTCATTTAGTCAGCCAGCTACTTCCACAAGCACTGGCTTTGGGTTTGGCACATCAACAGGAACATCAAATAGCTTGTTTGGAACTGCAAGTACAGGGACCAGTCTCTTCTCATCCCAAAACAATGCCTTTGCACAAAATAAACCAACTGGCTTTGGAAGTAAGTAGGACATCATTGGACTTTTGCGTCTAATAGTTTGGTTTGCTTATTGAATGTACTCCCTCTTTTTCTTTCTTTTCTTTTTTTTTTTTTAAGTTTTTATTTATTTATTTGAGAGAGAGAATGAGATAGAGAGCATGAGAGGGGGGAGGGTCAGAGAGAGAAGCAGACTCCCTGCTGAGCAGGGAGCCCGACGTGGGACTCGATCCCAGGACTCCAGGATCATGACCTGAGCCGAAGGCAGTCGCTTAACCAGCTGAGCCACCCAGGCGCCCTCCCTCTTTTTCTTTTTCCTGTGTTCATTTACCTCCTTTCTCCACCAGGTGGCAATAGGCTAGAAAGGAAGGGGCTATATCGCTCCAAGATTGGAAATCTAAGAAGCACTAGTATTCAAAGGATATGCAGAGGAAGAGGCTCCTGACATAGAATGACCAGAGAGTGGATGAAAAGCCAGGCCAGAGTAATGTCATAGGTGTTAAGAGAGGAGAATTTCAAGGAGGAATGCATGTAGTCAGCCATATTGTACTGCAGGGGCACCTTCTTCTTGCCTCTGTTTCACATTGGGTATAAGAGACTAAAGGAGGAATAACAGATACTAGATGTGACATGGTTACTCTTCCATTCCTTATCCGTGGCAGATGTTTTGTTGTTTTATTTAAGTGGGCTCGTGGAGCCCAACATAGGGCTTGAACTCACGACCCTCGAGATCAAGACCTGAGCTGAAGTCAAGAGTTGGACACTTAACTGACTGAGCTACCCCAGGTGCCGCATAGCAGATTTTTTTTTTTTTTAAGATTTTATTTATTTATTTGACAGAGAGAGACACAGCAAGAGAGGGAACACAAGCAGGGGAAGTGGGAGAGGGAGAAGCAGGCCTCCCACTGAGCGAGGAGCCTGACGCGGGGCTTGATCCTAGGACCGTGGGATCATGACCTGAGCCGAAGGCAGACGCTTAACGACTGAGCCACCCAGGCGCCCCAGCAGATGTTTTTAATAGGTGGTTTCTTTCTCTTTTAAGTCTAAATGTGGCCTGGGGATACTTCTCCACACAGTACTTTGAGGTAGCCACTACTAGTTGAACAGGTGTGCCCTGTGAGTTGATACATTCACAGTGCAAAAGCTTAGCAGAATGAATAAGTTAGCCAGCTATCAGTATTTCACAAAGGGAAAGTTGTGGGGGGGCAGCTGGGTGGCTCAGTCGTTATGTGTCTGCCTGCAGTTCGGGTCATGATCCCAGGGTCCTGGGATCAAGCCCCGCATCAGGCTCCCTGCTCCGTGGGAAGCCTGCTTCTCCCTCTCCCACTCCCCCTGCTTGTGTTCCCTCTCTCACTGTGTCTCTCTGTGTCAAATAAATAAATAAAACCTTTAAAAAAGGGGGGGGGAAGTTGGGGGGTATTGAAATATTTAACCATAACAATGTAAAATGCAATCTAACATGCTAATTCAAAAGAGATGTGACTGTTTACTTGAAACCATACATTAGGATGGTTTTTTTTTAAAGATTTTATTTGAGAGAGCGAGAATGAGAGAGAGAGAGCACATGAGAGGAGGGAGGGTCAGAGGGAGAAGCAGACTCCCCGCTGAGCAGGGAGCCTGATGGGGACTCGATCACGGGACTCCAGGATCATGACCCGAGCTGAAGGCATTCGCTTAACCAGCTGAGCCACCCAGGCGCCCCAGGACATGTTTTTAGAAAAGAAATAGTTGGCCAGTGTGAAATCTGATTCCTCTTAAATTGGTGATTAGGATGTCCCTTACTATTAAATATTGGCAGATAACTTTATTGCTTACTGACATTTCTGCACCCTATGTATAAATTCTTGAGAAGTAATATCTCTCTTTGAAAAATATATTCTTTAGATAACAGTTAAATTCACTTTTTTTTTAAGTTTTTATTTATATATTTATTTGAGAGAGAGAAAATGAGAGGGAGAGAGCACATGAGAAAGGGGGGAGGGTCAGAGGGAGAAACAGACTCCCTGCTGAGCGAGCAGGGAGCCTGATGCGGGACTCATTCCCGGGACTCCAGGATGATGACCTGAGCTGAAGGCAGTCGCTTTACCAACTGAGCCATGCAGGCGGCCCCAGTTAAATTCACTTTTATGTAAGTTTTTTGAAATTCAGCTTTTTGGAAAAGTAAGGCAATCGGGATTTATTCTAAAAAATAATCAACATGCCTACTAATTTTTCTAAATTACTGGGCAAAATTTTATAATAATCTGTTTGGTTGCTCTAATAGGATCATTTGTATGTTTTGAACTTTTTGGTGTTGTGTAGGTGTTTGTCTTAATGTATGTAAATAAAATATACTGTGACCCCTTTTGAAGTCTGTTATGATGTTTTCAGAAAGGTTCATTCAGCATGGAGTCTTTTTTTTTTTTTTTAAAGATTTTTTTTTTTTATTTTTATTTATTTGAGACAGAGAGAATGAGAGACAGAGAGCATGAGAGGGAGGAGGGTCAGAGGGAGAAGCAGACTCCCCGCCGAGCAGGGAGCCCGATGCGGGACTCGATCCAGGGACTCCAGGATCATGACCTGAGCCGAAGGCAGTCGCTTAACCAACTGAGCCACCCAGGCGCCCCTCAGCATGGAGTCTTATCAAGAAAGGAGAAATGAGATAAAATTTATGATGAAATAGAGTACTATTTCTTTTCACTTGTCTTCCAGGTTTGCCCAATAAGAACTTTATAGATGCTTAGCTGACAAAGGGATTCAGATTTTGTTTCACTTCAAAGTTGGAAGCCTAGAATTATGTATGTGTCTGTATGAAGCAGGTTTGAAGGAACTTGGTCGGGAGATATGAAAGATAGAAAATTTGAGGATGTGAAAGTAATGCTCCTATGGTGCGAAAGCCCAATTCCAAAATATCTTACAGATTCTTAAATTCTTAACTGTTGCCATCTCATTTTTCTTCCTAATTTACAGATTTTGGAACAAGTACTAGCAGTGGGGGACTTTTTGGTACTACAAATACAACCTCCAATCCTTTTGGTAGCACATCTGGCTCCCTCTTTGGGCCGAGTAGTTTTACAGCTGCTCCTACTGGGACCACTATTAAGTTTAATGTAAGTCTTTCCTTCCAGTCTTTGTGGAATATATTACTCTTCCATTTGTATATCTCTTTGCAGGATGAATGGTAAAATTTCTCCTTTTTCCAGTTATGCACAGTTTAGTCTCACTCTTCTTGAAAGATGTGTTAAGAACAAAATCTGTAAATATTTATATAGTAGGTGGGAAAGTCATGAAACATAAATGTTGATTATGTGTGAATCATGCTCAGTCCACCCAAATTTATATTCACAAGGTTGATTACAGTAGGTAGTATGAGGTTGAACTTGTATTTACTGCATTCATAACTTGGCTCTGAATGATCAGCATTCCTTATATAAAGGAATGAGGGGGCAAACTAAAAAAAATTATTGAAAATAGGGTCTCTTTCAAGACAAAATCAGAGAGGGAGACAAACTATAAGAGACTCTTAATCATACTGAGGGTTGCTGGAGGGGAGGGGGATGAGAGGATGGGGTAACTGGGTGATGGACAGTAAGGAGGGCACATGATGTAATGAGCACTGGGTATTATATAAGACTGATGAATCACTGAACTCTACCATCTGAAACTAATAATACACTATATGTTAATTAATTGAATTTAAATTAAAAAAATAGTCTTTAAAAAGAACAGGGCCTCTTTAAAGAGATATATGGAATAACTCATCAATATTCTGTGTTCCAATGAAAAATAAAACTTCTCTTGATGAAATGGCAAAATAGGGCAATAGAGTTAGATGTTTTCTTGGCTATTTTGAGAGAACTTGATAGAGGATTAGAGTGGAAGATTTATTAATGAAAATGTATGGAATACTACTTGATATAAGATACCACTTGATGTGATTGGTTGGGAGATACTTAGAATAGGCTGGAGGTACAGTTAGCCTAAAGAAAATCTGGCACAAAAAGGTCTTGGCTTAACTTCTTGTTAAAATTTATTCTAGGAAATGAAGAATTTCTTAGGCAAGGTGGCGAAGTCATAATTTAGAAACTGAACTTTATTTTATTTATTTATTTTTAAGATTTTATTTATTTGAGAGAGAGAGAGAACATAAGCAGGGTGGAGGGACAGAGGGAGAAGGAGAAGCAAACTCCCTACTGAGCAGGGAGCCTGATGTGGGGCTCAGTCCCAGGACTCAGAGATCATGACCTGAGCCAAAGACAGATGCTTAACTGACTGAGCCACCCAGATGCCTCAAAACTGAACTTTAGAATTTAGAAACATACTGAATTTAGAACCCTAAATTTAATATAAACTTAAATATAAATGATAGTGAAAAATACTGTGTGTTATCTCTTGGAAAGTACAATAATTGAGAAAACGACAATACATGTAGAAATCTTTAGTTACATATTGTGCCTTTTTCCTTATAAAGTTATAGGGAAAAAGCCAGGCTTCTGTATTTCTTAAATGCAACAACTTATAAAGCAGACAGACACTTCAAAAAATTAAATAAAATAAAGCAGACATTTTAGAGCAGGGTAGGGGGCAATTAAGCCTGAGTAATACAGGTTTAAATGTACATGTTGGGTAAATTGGATAGTTTTTCTTATGCAGGTAATCTTAAGTGTATTTTATTTCTTTATTTTTTTTAAAGATTTTATTTATTAGAGAAAGAGCACGAGCAGGGGGAAGGGGCAGAGGGAGAGGGAGAAGCAGGCTTCCTGCTGAGCAGGGAGCCAATGCAGGGCTCAATCCCAGGACCTTGGGATCATGACCTGAGCCAAAGGTAGATGCCCAACCAACTGAGCCACCCAGGTGCCCCTTAAGTATATTTTAGTAGATAATTAGATGGCTTGGTTATGGGCTTAATATCTGATAACTATTACTGATACTGATTTATTTAGATAACCTTGATGTAAGGAGAGGAGAGATCAGAAATGCAGTATATTTAATTAAGTACCCTTGAAACTGTCTCATTTAGCAGAAGACCTACAGGACTAGTTACTATAGAGTTCAGTGGTTGAAGAATTGTGTCTGTGAGAGTAGGGATTTAGAGTTTGGACTTAAACATTTGCTTCAGACTTTCAAATTTGCCTTTATCTTCTTTTGCAGCCTCCAACTGGTACAGATACTATGGTTAAAGCTGGAGTTAGCACTAACATCAGTACCAAGCACCAGTGTATTACTGCTATGAAAGAATATGAAAGCAAGTCACTAGAGGTCAGTAAAATGCAATACAGAAATATCAGCCTAACCTTTTGATTCTATTGGAAAGCAGGTTTTAAAAATGTTTTGATTATTTTTAGGATCAAGTGGTTCACGTTGGGTTTATGTAAAAAACTAACAACCACATTTTTTTTAAGTAAGCTCTATGCCCAGTGTGGGGCTTGAACTCACGATCCCAACCGAGAATAAGAGCCACATGCTGTACTGATTGAGTCAGCCAGGCGCCCCACAGCCAAATTATTATTTTTTAAAAAATTTTATTTACTTATTAGAGCATGCAAGCACAAGTGAGCAGGGGAAGGGGAGGAGCAAAGGGAGAGGGAGAAGCAGATTCCTGGCCGAACAGGGAAACTGATGCAGGGGTCAATCCCAGGACCCTGAGGTCATGACTCAAGCTGAAGGCAGACGCCTAACCAACTGAGCCACCCAGGTGCCCCCCCCAAATTATTTTTTTAAATTAATGTAGTAATCATACATATTTTAGGCAGGGCAATATTCAGCTTGTAAGTAGAACTATAGTTCTACTAGGTAGTCTATTATAATAGATTTTATGTTGCTCACATTACACTGGGCAGTGTGTGTGTACATGGCATGCATGGTTTTTTTTTTTTTTAAAGATTTATTTATTTGAGAGAGGGTGCACATACAGAGGGAGAAGCAGACTCCCCACTGAGGAGGGAGCCCGATGTGGGGCTCAATCCCAGGACCTTGAGATCATGACCTGAGCTGAAGGCAGATGCTCAACCACTAAGCTACCTAGGCACACCCCATGCACATGTTTCTAATAAACTCATGAAAAATCATAAGTGTACCACATAGTAAGTTTTCACCAAGTGAACATACCCATGTAACCAGGATCCAGATTAAGTCACAGAGCATTACCAGCATTCCTGATATCCCCCATATGCCCTGCCTCCCTAGTCACAATTTCCACCCCCTTCTAAAGGTAACCACTATCATGATTGTCCATATTTTCCTCATTTCAGACTTTATATAGGTGAAATCTTGCATTATGTGTTTTTAAGTCTGTTTTTCCACATTGTGGGATTTATCCATGGTGTTTCATGAAGTTAAAATTTGTTCATTCTTTTTTTTTTTTTTTTTTTTAAAGATTTTATTTATTTGAGAGAGAGAGAGACAGGAGGGCCTGAGAAGGGGGAAGCGTCAGAGGGAGAGGCAGGCTTCCCGCTGAGCAGGGAGCCAGACATGGAACTCGATCCCGGCACTCCGGGATCATGACCTGAGCCAAAGGCAGTCGCTTAACCGACTGAGCCACCCAGGCGCCCCAGTTTGTTCATTCTTATTGGTGTGTGATAGTGTCTTGTATATTTTGAGTGTCAACCCTGATTGTAACTGTTGCTTCCTCTGCATCCCAAACTATACTTGCTTTATTGGAAACACCCTGACTGTGAGGCAAAACTGTTAATGTTAAATTTCATCCCTTTTTTCCCTAATTTTCCAAGACCCCCTCACCCCATCCCAGAATCCTTGATCTTTTTAGCTAATTTTTACATTTGGGGTGGGAGTAGATAAAATTACATAGCATTCTACTAAAAGAAAGTACTACTGTTTATAAAAGAAAATTAAAATTAAGATAGGTTAGTCCTTTGGCCTGTAGTGTTAGTGATTACGGTATGGATCTTAATGTCCATTCTACACTATTGAAAGTGTTTTTCTGTAACGATATTAAGTTAATGTTCTGTAGTTTTCTGTTTTTTAGTCATGGTTCTTATGTGAACATGGAAATTGAATTCTAAATTTAAGTATTGTTTCCTAAATAATTTTTTTGGCTGCATGTAAAGATAGGAAATATGCTTTCCCTTCCTCTAGGAACTTCGTTTAGAGGATTATCAGGCTAACCGGAAAGGCCCGCAGAACCAAGTGGGAGCAGGTACCACAGCTGGCTTGTTTGGGTCTTCTCCAGCCACCTCCAGTGCGACAGGACTCTTCAGCTCCTCTACCACTAATTCAGGCTTTGCATATGGTCAGAACAAAACAGCCTTTGGAACTAGTAAGCACTTGGCACCATATTGAGCCATATTGAGGAGGGACAGACAACTGAAACATAATTGTCATTTTGTGATAAATGCTATGGAGAAAAATAATGCAGTGATGTTGGAGGAATAGAGTGATATGTATGTGGGGATGGAGAGAAACAGAGTTTTAAATGAAGAAGGTTAAAAAGGGCCTCACTTTGATAAGGTAGCATTTGAACAGTGACCCCTCTGAAGAAGGCAAAGGATAAAGCTGTACAAATTGCTGGGGAAGAACATTCCAGCCAGAGGAAGCTATAAGTCTAAAACCCTGAGTTTTTTTCCAAAGAGATAAGGACTAAGGGGAAGTATTGAGGGATATAGGGACTATATTTTATAGGATTTTGTGGGCCAATGTCAAGATCTGAATTTTTATTTGAGTTGGGAAGCCATTAGAAGTTGTAGAAAGAGAAGTCATGTGATTATGAGTGAAGGATCATCTGAAACCTGCTCTATTAAATAGAGTAAATTGTGGTAGCTACATTTATGAGCATAGCATAACCTAGAGACTTGGGGAATCACTGTGTTGTATCAACTTCAGAAACTCAAGAAAAAGAAAAAGTAGGTTGTAAGGGGCGAGGGTGAAAACAGATCCGTTAGGAAAGCTATTGCTTCATTCACATGAGAGATGATGGTGGGTTGGCTAAGGAGATGGAGGTGGTAAAAATGTCAGATTCTGGACCCAGTGTGAACATAGAACTGATGGGATTTGCTAATAGATTGCTTTGATGTGGAATGTGAAAGAGGGAAGTCTAGGATGAGGACTAAATTCCTTTAATACAAACACTACTTTTGTACAGGTAGTACATATATATGATAAAAAGTTCATGAGACACAAAAAAGTCTGTAACCAAAGTTATCTTCTTTCTCTCCCCTAGCTACCATTTTTCCCCCATAGAAACAAGCTAAAGTTAGACCTTTTCGTGATCTTTTAGAGAGATTTATATACACCCACAAATACACAGATAAATACATGTTTAAGTGGCATTTAACATTCATTTCAATCCTGGTGTTCTGTGATGTAGCTTAGCCATATATTCATTATCAAGTACAATGTATTCTATGCTGGAATTATAAAGAGAAAGCCCCTGTTCTCAAGAAAAACTTAGTCTAACAGGGTTAAAATACACATACAGATTTTGAGTGTAGTGTGGTATCTTGTAAAATGGAAAGTTTTGGACTCAAAAGAGGAAAATTACTTAGCCCAGCCAGGGTTCTTGGGGTCAGAATATTATTGTAGGAATTAAAGTCTGAACGAAATCCAAGTTAGGTGAAAAAGGATGGGAAGTGAAATGTTTATTTAGTTTGAGTAGTGAATTAATGTAGGGTAATTTAGATATGTATTCAAGAATATTAAGGCTGTTGCAGTAACTGAGTAACGTAAGGTTTGAGGGTTTTTTCCTCCATTTATTTTTACTTTATTTTTTTCTTTCTGAAAGGTACCACTGGATTTGGAACAAATCCGGGTGGTCTCTTTGGACAACAGAATCAGCAGACCACCAGCCTCTTCAGCAAACCATTCGGCCAGGCCACAACCACCCAGAACACTGGCTTTTCTTTCGGTAATACCAGCACACTAGGACAGCCAAGCACCAGCACCATAGTAAGCAACCAGGCCCTTCGTTAACACCACATCGTACATTCATAGAGCTAAGTAATGAGGCTTCTAATCATGTCAAACTAGCCAGTTCTACCTCTAGTAGTTCTTAAGGGTTGATGGTATGTAGTAAAGGAAAGAGCAAAATGTAAAAAATTAAAACCTAGATTCTAGTACAAGCTCTACTCTTTACTCATTGAGAGGCTGTTGAGCAAGTTACCTCTTCTTTCTGAGCTGCTTAGTGTGCTAGAATTGGCCATCCTGAAGGCTACACCTTAGGACATTGGCTGTATCCATTCTGTAGAGTAATAGGAGAAAATACTTATAAATTACTGGCTGTATTTCAGAGTATTCTTTCATCTTGTTCCCTTAAGTGGGGTCAGGCAAAGGTGTGTAATTCATTAAAATAAATAAGGGAGCATTAAAACTCAGAGCTATATTGGATAATTGATACTTCTGTGCAAAAAGCAAAAAAGGAAGTACTAGAGTCACTACCAGTTTATTTCTAAGGACTCTTCTAGGGAAGAATAAAATTAAGATTAATAAGAGGTATGATTTATTGATTCGAATTCTTGGAATTTAACTGGCCTTTAAGTTAAAGATATTTTATCTGATTAAAAAACAATTACAGCCAGACCCCAAAATCTTAGAAATACTGGCAAACAAAATTCAGTAACATTAAAAGGATTATAACCATACCATGTGGGATTCATCCCAGAATGTTGGTTCAACATAGAAAAATTAATAAACCAGAGAAATAAAAAAGGGATGCCTCGGTGGCTCAGTTGGTTAAGCTTCTGATTCTTGATCTCAGCTTAGGTCTTGATCTCAGGGTCATGAGTTCCAGCCCACATGGGGCGGCGGGGAGTGTGGAGCCCACTTAAAAAAAAAAAAAAGGATAAAAGAAAAACAATAAAAAACAGAAACCACATGACTTCAGTAGGTACAGAGAAAGCGTTTGATACCCTTTCATGATAAAAACACTAAACAAAAAATAGAAAGGAACTCAGAATAGCCAAAATAATCTTGAGAAAGAAGAAAGCTAGAAGACTCGCATTGTTTCAATTTTATTTTATTTTATTTTTAAAGATTTTATTTATTTATTTGACAGAGACACAGCAAGAGAGGGAACACAAGCGGGGGAGTGGGAGAGGGAGAAGCAGGCCCCCGGCCAAGCAGGGAGCCCGATGCGGGGCTCGATCCCAGGACCCTGGGATCATGACCTGAGCTGAAGGCAGACACTCACTGCCTGAGCCACCCAGGCGCCCTTTCATTGTAATTTTTAATGGGTATTGTGGCATAAAAAACTAGATAGTAGTATTTTCAAAAATTTGGCGAAATTGGAAACCTTACACATTACTGGTGGGAATGTAAGGTAATACAACCACTTTGGAAAACAGTTTGGTGGTTCCTCAAAATGTTACACACAGAGTTACCATTTAACCCAGTAATTGCACACCTTGGTATTTCACCAACAGAAATGAAAACACAAAAATTTGTACACAAATGATTATAACATAGCCAGAATGTAGAAACATCTCAAATGTCCATTAATGAATGAATTTAAAAAAATGTGTATTCAGGGCGCCTGGGTGGCTCAGTCGTTAAGCGTCTGCCTTCGGCTCAGGTCATGATCTCAGGGTCCTGGGATCGAGCCCCGCATCGGGCTCCCTGCTGCGCGGGAAGCCTGCTTCTCCCTCTCCCACTCCCCCTGCTTGTGTTCCCTCTCTCTGTCAAATAAATAAATAAAATCTTAAAAAAAAAAAAAATGTGTATTCATACAGTGGAATATTACTCGGCCATAAATGGAATGATAAATGTTACAACGTGGTTGGGACCTTTTAAACATGCCAAGTTTAAACAAGTTAAGCCATCCACAAAGGACCACATTTTATAGGATTCCATTCATACAAAATAATCAGAATGGACAAATCCATGGAAACAAAAAGTAGATTCGTGATTGATTGCCTAGGAATAGGGAGTGATTCTTAACGGGCCTGGGGTTTCTTTTTGGAGTGATGAAACTGTTCTAAATTTAGAGAGTAGGGGTAATTGCATAAGTCTGAACATAGGGAAAAAAACCTAAATAGTGAACTTTAAATGGGTAAATTTTATGGTATGTGAATTATGTCTTAGTAAAGCTGTTTAAAAACACTGTGTTTGGGGCACTTGGGTGGGCTCAGTCAAGCATCTGACTCTTGGTTTGGGCTCAGGTCATGAGCTCAGGTATGTCAGATCGAGCCCCACATCAGACTTCATGCTCAGTGGGGAGTCTGCTTGAGACTCTCTTCCCTCTCCCTCTTCTCCCCACCTCCCTACCCCCCACATGGGCTCGCACGTCCTCTCTCTCTCTCTCTCGGTCTCAAATAAATAAATCTTTAAAAACAAACAAAAAACCCAGCACTGTTGAATTCTCAGTTCAGTAATAATAGTCCATTAGTGCAGTATTTTTTTGTTGTCGTTAACTAATGCAAAAATAAAATACCTTCTTAAACATTGGATATGAATTTTGCTTATTTGAAATGAGTGTAGTTTTTTTTTTTTTTTTTTAAGATTATATTTTTATTTGACAGAGACACAGCGAGAGAGGGAATACAAGCAGTGGGAGTGGGAGAGGGAGAAGCAGGCCTCCCGCCGAGCAGGGAGCCCGATGCGGGGCTTGATCCCAGGACCTGGAATCATGACCTGAGCTGAAGGCAGCCGCTTAACGACTGAGCCACCCAGGCGCCCCATGAGTGTAGTTTCTTATCTCAAATTAAGACGACTTTGGGATGCCTGCGTTGCTGGGTTGCTGGGTTAAACATCCACCTTTAGCTCAGGTCGTGATCCCAGGGCCCTGGGATCAAGTCCCTCATCAGGCTCCTTGCTCAGCGGGGAGCCTGCTTCTCCCTCTGCCTGCCGCTCCCCCTGCTTGTGTGCTCTCTCTCTCTCTGACAAATAAATAAAATCTTTTAAAAAAAAAAAAGACTTTAACTTTACACTCCTGCCTCTGTCCAGATTGATTATTTCTTCTGATTGTTTTCAGTTACTTGATTCAAAATCCATTCCACAGCTCAGTGTTGATTAGTTCTTTCAGCATAACTATCTGAAAATGAAGCATTCTGTCATATTGTTTTGTTTTCAGTGTTGCAACCCTGCTGTTTCTTAGAGCATAGGAGTTAGTATAAAGTCTTATTAGCTGCCCAGGACCTTGGAACTCATCGGGCTTAGATGTAGGTATGAATTTCTGGTCCTGTCACTCAGGAGCTGTGACATCTTGGGCAAGTTTTTAACTGCCCCGAGGTGGGATTTTTGTTTTGTTTTGTTTTGTTTTTAAAGACTTTATTTATTTGACAGAGAGACACAGCGAGAGAGGGAACACAAGCAGGGGGAGTGGCAGAGGGAGAAGCAGGCTCCCCGCGGAGCAGGGAGCCCGACGCGGGGCTCGATCCCAGGACCCTGGGATCATGACCTGAGCCGAAGGCAGACGCTTAACGACTGAGCCACCCAGGCGCCCCTGTTTTGTTTTTTTAAATGGCCCTCCTCATCAGGGTTGTTGTGAAGAAAAGAAATGCTCTATGTATTTAGCATAATGTATATCAAATAAACTTTTTTAAAATGGCAACAATTATTAATCTAAGACTCTTAAAGAAAACAGACTGTTGTAGGATATCTTTTAATGTAGATTACTTTTTGCAGGGTTTATTTGGAGTGACCCAAGCCTCACAGCCTGGAGGTCTTTTTGGGACAGCTACAAACACCAGCACTGGGACAGCATTTGGAACAGGAACGGGTCTCTTTGGGCAGCCCAACACTGGATTTGGTGCTGTTGGTTCGGTAGGTTTTTACAGTTGACTCTAATTTGAAGATGTGTATACATTGGTTAAAGGAATTTCTAAGAAAGATTTAATTATCTTTCAAGTGTTTTTACTGGATACATTATATGACTTGATACTGATATAACTAAAGCTATTTGGTGCAAAAAAGAATAACCAGGTAACTTCAGTAGGTTAATTTTCAAGTAGTAAGTTCTTTTTTAAACTTCTTTGCCTCAGTGCTTATGTACAGTTTACTTCTGGTAGCAAAATATCACTCCAGTTGGTTAAATTGAGTCTAAATTGAAGTGCTTTCATTCTTAAAATCGGGTGACTTTTAATTCCTATATCTAACCTCTTTTTGGGGTGATAAGTTGGTATGATACTTGAGAAGTAAACATTCTAAGTTGCTAAAATTGTTGGCGGTCTCATGGTTTTCATGCAATGGAGGCTTAACTGAATTGTGTTCCTTGTTAAGTTATTTAAGTAAACTATTTAGGAGTGCACTTGACCTAAAAATAATAGTAAATTCTGTATGGCCATTTAACTATGTGAGAATTAGTATGAAACAGCCAATCTGTATTATGTACCCATTAAAAAAAGCTTTGAACATGCTGTTGTGGCTAATTAAAAAAAAAGAAAAGAAAAGAAAAATTCCAAAATGTGAATTTCATGGAAATTAAAATCTGTTATTTCCTAATTTTTCTTTGGGCAGCTAATTGAGATGAGAAATTGAGAAAATTATATAATGCTTCAAAAAGTTCTTTTTAATAACCACTTTATTGAGATATAATCCGTATGCCATACAATTCACCCTTTCAAGGCTTATAATTCAGTGGTTTTTAGTTTACCAACAGACTGTGGAACTATCACCATAGTCAATTTTAGAACATACTCATCACCTTAATAAAAAGAAGCCTCATACTCATTAGTAGTCACTTTTCATTTCTCCCCAGTTACCTCAGGCTTACTGTCTACAGATTTATCTATTCTGGACATTTCATATAAATGGAATCACATAATGTGTAGTCTTTTGTGACTCATTTCTTTTACTTAGCATAATGTTTTGAAGGCTCATCCATGTTCTAACATGTTTTAATTTTTTATTATAACTGTTTATACTGGCAAATTAAATACATGATACTTTTCTGTTACCAGGTAAAGAAATATTTGATTACTTTATTGTTTTCTTTGCTCCACTGTAATACTGTGTTTGCTGAAGGGTTGCCATTAACTTCTTAGGCTAGGAGCATGCTCTATAAAGTTAATCTTGCTCAGATTAGTATACTTTTCTGATAGTCTTTATTCACATTATGCCTATTTTTTCATAAAAGTTATGACCTCTCCTCTTGCTTACCTCATCCTCAATCCAGTTTACCTGAGGTAACCTCTATTTGTTGTTTGGAGTGTATCTTTATACTACTTAAAATTTTCCTGTGTTTTATTCTTTTTAGACCCTGTTTGGCAATAACAAGCTTACTACATTTGGAACCAGCACAACCAGTGCTCCTTCATTTGGTACAACCAGTGGCGGGCTCTTTGGTAACAAACCAACCCTGACTTTAGGAACCAATACAAACACTTCCAATTTTGGTACATATAAAAAGCAGGTTTGGCTCTCTTAAAGTTACACTGACTATACCACACATCATTCTCCTGATTCATATGATTGGGAATTTTTAAAAATTCTCAGGTAAGCTGTGGCTTGATGTGAGGTACCGGAGGGAAAGATTTAAAATCATGGACTTGGGTTGACATACTTAGAAAAGTTGTAAATTGCCTTACCTCATTATTAGTCTCTTAATTGCCTGCTTTGGATAAAATGGGCCATTCAGCACATGCAGTGGTACCTTGTAGAAAATTGCTTCTCTAATGGAGATAGATTTTTTCCAAAATAAGGAAATAGATTTTCTTTAGATTACCTCACTGGTAGTTGAGAAACCAGAAGTGAAACCCATTCGGTTGAAAGAACACATTGTTTTAGGCCAGGTTTCAAACAGGGAAGTAGTGTACAAATGAGATTTGATGATTTTTTTAAATGTTTTTTGTTGTCATTTTTGTTTTGATTCTTAGTTGTTTTTTGAGATTTCATAATTTTTTTTGAGATTGCGTGATTCTTACTGAAAATTGGAGTTTTCCCTCAAGCTGCAAAAGTATATTTTTGATTGCATGTTCATTTTTAAAAATTTGGAAAATACAGATTAGATTGAATAATAATTAAAAAATAACCCTAAACCACTATTCAGAGATATGTTGGAAAAATTAAACTTGTTTAATAGAAACATTATATTATTCTAAATGTCTTTAATAATTTGTGTTAGATAACGAAAGTTCATTTTATGTGCCAGATATATTATTAGGCACAGGGGGTATTTAGTGTGAAATGAATGAAAAGATGGTTATTGGAGTGCCTGGCTGGCTCAATTACAGAGTTTTACAGTTTTTCAGTGTTTTTAAATGGTCTTATAGTGTACTAGAGAAAGAGACTACATTAAGAATCTGTTAGAAGGTGATACGTTTTTACAGAAATGCATATGTGAAAGAAATAGGTACCAATTCCTAAATTTTTGCACTTAATTTTATTATTATTTTTAAAAGATTTTATTTATTTGATAGAGATCACGAGCAGGGGAAAGGGCAGAGGGAGAAGCAGACTCCCTGCTGAGCAGGGAGCCTGATGTGGGACTCGATCCCAGGACCCTGGGATCATGACCTGAGCTGAAGGTAGACACTTAACCAACCAAGCCACCCAGGCGCCCTTATTTATTTTTTTAATGAAGATTTTATTTATTTATGTATTTATTTGAGAGAGAGAGGGAGAAGGAAGCTCCCCACTGAGCATGGAGCCTGATGTGCAGCTCTATCCCAGGACCCTAGGATCATGACCTGAGTCGAAGGCAGACGCTTAATCGACTGAGCCACCCAGGCGTCCCCAATTTGATTTTTTAAAAGATTTATGTATTTATTTGAGAGAGAGAGCACGAGCGCGGGGAGAAGGGGGTTGAGGGAGAGGGAGAGAGAGTCCCCAAGCAGACTCTGTGCTGAGCGACCCAGAGATCATGACCTGAAGTGAAACCAAGAGTTCACGCTTAACCAACTGCACCACCCAGCTGCCCCTTTAATTTGATTTTTTTAACCTTTTTTGTTGTGTTGCTCGCTCACTCTTAGTAGTGATTATCATTTCAACGATTAATTCTTTTTGATTATGAAAGAATGGTTTTGAGGCATTGGGCTTGGTTAGCATGGGTATCTATTTTGAGTACTTGTTTATTTTATAAAATTAAGATGGGAAAGATACTTAAAGGTTAAATTAGAGTTTTTCAATCTTTTTTCATCACTGTCACTCCTTCCCCCAAAAGCTTTGTAATCATCTTCTTACCCTGTGAGATTTTAATACCACATGTGTTCTGTTATATCTGTTTATGTACTGTGGCCCTTTGGAGGGCCATAAGCCATTGTATAGCTGTGATTCATTTAGCCCCTCAAGAACCAATTTTCCCTTCCTTTGAAAATGCGTGTTTTTTGGTGCATTCTTCATGCTCAGAAAAAAACCAAACATTGTTTTTAGGTGGGTGCTTATATAGGCTAAAGTGATAAAATGGGCTAGACTTCTGAAATATACTTGATGTTCTTCATCATTGCGAATTTCTGATTTGTTTGGAGATTTTGTTGTTGTTGTGTAAATACATTTATATTCATGTTTGATGTTTTGAAAGTGAAAGAGTTCATTTTTATCCAATATGCCTCACTAGCTTATGTGATGAATCTTAATTGTCCTAATTTTTTTTCCTTTTTTAATCCCCAGTTTTGACCTAATGCCTGGCATAGAATAGGTACTCACTAAAACTTGGTTAAATGAATTAATGAGTGAATAAATGGGGCCCTAAGAGTAAGGATTCCTTCTAAGTCAGATGGGGGTTGCATGGTAGCAAGTTTTGTTCTACTCTTGGGTGAATTTAACATCCCATTACTACCCTTGAGGGATCCTAAGTAAGGCTTTCTTTGATATTCTTGTTTTCTTGGGAAGCTATCAACTTTGAGTTTGTGGACAGAGTCTTCTGATTTGGAAATAAGCCATATAACAAATCTGGAAATGGGATAAGATTATACAAAGATTTAGAGCATCATTATATTATTGTTAGTCACACATCCATTATGGGATTTTGTTTCATTTGGCTGCTGATTAATTCACAGAGTTAAAGGTTGGGGTACCTGCTGCTACAGTTGGTGTTGTGAGATCCTTAAGTCATTCTTTAGAGTCATCAGCTTATTTTCTTAGTAAATGATTATTCCTGGGAGGGACGGGTTTAAGATTAAATGAGTATAAGATAGTGTCTGAATTTCCGAATGAATGGAGGAGTAGAATTGTTTCAGGAGAGGAATTACAGACAGTATGTCAACACTTGTGAGCAACAGTTTAAAAAGATTGCTTCTGGGACGCCTGGGTGGCTCAGATGGTTAAGCGTCTGCCTCCCGCTCAGGTCATGATCCCAGCCCACATCAGGCTACCTGCTCAGTGGGGAGCCTGCTTCTTCCTCTCCCTCTGCCTGCCGCTCCCCCTGCTTGTGCTCTCTCTCTCTCTGACAAATAAATAAAATCTTTAAAAAAAAATAAAAATAAAGAGATTGATTCTTTGGGTATTGATAAGATGGTGCTGGGCAATAAATCAGTGATTCTTCCATACTGTATGGTTAAGTGGACAGTTAAGGAGCTATTTGTATACTTAAACATCTTTTTTATTTTAAAAGCTCATTTTTCTGAATTGCGATATAATTGAAATATAACAGTAGTTTCCGGCGTAGGACATATGATTTGGTATTTCTGCCGAATCATATAATAGACTAGTTAACATGTTACTAACATGTTAACATGTTAACAGTAAGACTAGTTAACATGTTACCAAACGTAGTTATATGTTTTTTGTGTGTGTATGATGAGAACTTTTAGGATTGCTATTTTAGCAACTTTCAAATATGCAAGACGGTATTAACTATCGTCACCATGCTGTACATTACATCCCCATGACTTACTTATTTTATAACTGGAAGTTTGTACCTTTAGATCCCCTTTCACCCATTTCACCCATCCCCTCATCACCTTCTTCTGGCAGCCACCAATCTATTGTCTGTATCTATAAGCTGTTTTTTTGTGTGTGTTTTATAAGATTACACATACAAGTGAGGTCCTGCAGTATTTGTCTTTCTCTATATGGCTTGTTTCACTTAGCATAATGCTTTCAAATTCCATCCCTGTTGTCACAAATGGCAAGATTTCATTGTCCTTTACAGCTGAATAATAATCCATTATATGTATATATCACATCTTTATCCATTTATCCATCAGTGGCTATTTAGGTTATTTCCTGTATTTTGGCTATTGTAAATAATGCTGCAGTGAATATGGGGGTGCATGTCTTCCTGGGTTAGTTTTTTAGTTTTCTTTGGATAAATACCCAGAAGTGGGATTGTTAGATCATATGGAATCTATATTTTTAATTTTTTTGAGGACCCTCCATACTGTTTCCCACAGTGTCTACACCAATTTACATGCTCACCAATGGTGCACCAAGGGTTCCCTTTTCTCCACATTTTTACCAACACTTGTTATTTTTTGTCTTTTTGATAATAGCCATTCTAATAGGTATGAGGTGATAACCTCGTTGTGGTTTTGATTTGCATTTCCCTGATGATTAATGATGTGGAGTATCTTTGCATATGTCCTTTGGCCATCTGTATGTCTTCTTTGTAAAGAGAACAACTCAGATCCTCTGCCCATTTTTAATTAGATTGTGTTTTTGCCACTGGATTGAGTTCTTTATGTATTGTGGATATTAACCTCTTATCAGATCTATGATTTGCAAATATTTTCCCTTATTCAGTAGGTTACCTTTTCATTTTGTTGATGGTTTCCTTTGCTGTACAGAAGCTTTTTAGTTTGATGTAGTCCCAGTTGTTTCTTTCTGCTTTTGTTGCCTTTGCTTTTGGTGTCACATCCAAAAAATCATTGCCAAGACAGATTTTTTTTTTTAAATTAACATACAATGTATTATTTGTTTCAGGGGTACAGGTCTGTGATTCATCAGTCTTACACAATTCACAGCGCTCACCATAGTACATACCCTCCCCAGTGTCCATCACCCAGCCACCCCATCCCTCCCACCCCTCTCCACTCCAGCAACCCTCAGTTTGTTTCCTGAGATTGAGTCTCTTATGGTTTGCCTCCCTCTCTGTTTCGGCCAAGACAGATATTAAGGAGCTTAATGCCCATGTTTTCTTCTAGGGGTTTTATACTTTCACGTCTTAGAGTTCAAGTCTTTAATTTTTGTTTATGGTGTAAGATGGTGGTCCAGTTTCATTCTTTTGCTGTCCAGTTTTCCCAGCACCATTAATTGGAGAGACTGTCCTTCCCTATTGTATATGCTTAACTCCTTTGTTGTAAATTAATTGACCATTAATTAATCGTCCTTAATTTTCATTTAAAAATTGTTTTGAAATAACAGAGTTAATCAACTTTTGTCAGTTAGAATCGGAGGAAATGTGTGGTATAAACAGTGTAAGTTGGGACTTATTTCCCTCATGTGGGTTTGAGGTAGCTCACAAATATTTTCTGCTGTTTACTGGGCTGGAAGATCCTTTCTGGTTAAATTTTAACTCAAAAAGAAAAAGAGTATCTCCAAGTACATTTTTTCCTGGTTTTTTTTCCTTCTTTAAAAAAAACTGTGCTTGAGTAGCAGTACTCCCATTTTGTGGCATAGCTATTAGTTAGCACAATTGAAGAAAATTTTTAGTGAATGTATGATTTAAAATGTGTCAGATTATGTCAGATCCCATGCATTTTTAAGTGAGATTAGAAATATATTTTCAAACTGTTTAAATTCTTTGCTTTCATTGAGATAATCCAGATATTGGCATGACTAACTATAACATTCTTAGTTGGTGATAATGTCCTATATTTCAGGATACTCTCTTTACTCTGTTATCTTTCGTACTTGATCCCCCTCCATGATACCTTTTAAAAAGACTTCTGAGTGTTCCATGAACAAGGTTTGCTGGCCAGTGATTGATTTTTTTTTTTTTCCCCCTCCTATCAAGAGATTAATGATGGGACGCCTGGCTGGCTCAGTCAGTAGAGCATGCAACTCTTTTTCTTTTATAAAGATTTATTTATTTATTTTAGAGAGAGAGCGCGTGCGCGCATGTGCACTCTAGTGAGTTGGGGGAGGAGCAGAGGGAGAGAATCCTCAAGCAAACTCCCCTCCAAGTGCGGAGCCCAATGCAGGGCTTGATCCCACAACCCATGAGATGACCTGAGCCGAAACGAAGAGTCAGATGCTCAACTGACTGAGCCACCCAGGTGCCCCTGGAGCATGCAACTCTTGATCTCGGGGTCTTGAGTTCGAGCCCAGTGTTGGGTGTAGAGATTCTTTAATGATTAAAAAAAAAAAAAGATTAATGATATGCTGATTGGATGTTTTGTTGATATTTAGCTACAAAAGGAGTGCAGAAACTTCGTGGACATATCTGAACAAAAGGGAAATAATAGCAATAATGCAGTAGAGGTGTCTTTTGGTGAAACCTGTGGATTTTCAAGGGGAATCATAGGATTTTCTCTAGATGGGAGGTCATAGTGAAGGAGGGTGATTTCTTTAACTCTCCATCATCTCTCATAATAAAACAGTTCAACCCAAGAAAAGTTATTTATAGATTATTTTCTCTCCTAATATCAGCTAGTTAAGTCCTTGAGTGCTCCTATGAGTTGATTGAGTATGACACCATTAAAGTTCCAATGTGTGATCAGCCAGCCACACATTACTGCCCATACAAGGTTCATCTGTTCAAAACCAAAGCTACTGTGGAGATTTTTTTTTTTTTTAAGATTTTATCCATTCATTTGACACAGAGAGAGAGAGCTAGAGGAGGAACACAAGCAGGGGGAGTGGGAGAGGGAGAAGCAGGCTTTCTGCTGAGAGCAGGGAGCCCGATGTGGGACTTGATCCCAGGACCCTGGGAGCGTGACCCGAGCTGAAGGCAGACGCCTAACGACTGAGCCACCCAGGCGCCCTACTGTAGGGATTTTTATAGGTAAATTTCTATTAGCAAGAACCTTTAGCTTCAGTAAAGTGTCTTTGAGATTGTCTTATTTTTAATATATATATATTAAGGTTTATTTATTTAAGTAATCTCTACCCATTGTGGGGCTCAAATTCACGACGCTGAGATCAAGAGCCATGTGCTCTACTGACTGAGCCAGTTAGGCACCCCGACTATCTTATTTTTAGTGAAAGTTTGAGGGAATGCATTTTTCTTCCATTAATTAGACATGAAAAATAGGTTTGAGGCTCTGAGTCTTACAAAGGGATTGTATATGCTCAAGCACAATCACTTTAATGGATGTTACCCGGTATTGAATATTTCAAGTCTGAAACATAATTAAATAGGAAGATTTTGGGGTCTGTTTATAGGCATCAAAATTAAAATTCTTTAAAAAGGTTAAGTTAGCTTACCATTTACAATTTCTAAATATTAATAACTGACAGGATGCAAAGCTTAGAGTCAGACTGCCTTTTTAAAAATTCCCTTGTATAGGAAATTGAGAGTTGTGTTAACAGTACAGTCCACTCATCTTTTGTCCTTCTAGGTTTTGGCACAAACACCAGTGGGAGTAGTATTTTTGGAAGTAAACCAGGACCTGGGACTCTGGGAACTGGGCTTGGTGCAGGATTTGGAACAGGTAAGGAACTGTACCATGAGATTTAGGAAGTGACACAGCTTGGCTTTCTAATTGCTGGAACTTAGGACCTCTGTTTGATCATATGCTGGGGAATAAGAGGACTAGATTTGCATTTTCACAAATGGACTTATAAAACATTCCCAGCAGTTTTGCTTTACCAGGTTTTAAAACATTTGGACGTTTTATCTTAAAAGTTATATGCTTCCTTTCTATAAAATGTTTTTCTTCTGATAGTCCTAGTCTATCTGGGATTTTTAGTATTTAATGTGAGACTTGTCAATATGATGGCATTATTAACTTTCAGTTCCCTTGTGCTGCCTTTGTAACAGGAAGGCATTTGAGACTTTGAACTGTTAATCAAGTAAGCTTTATTACCCTTATAGTAAGAGAGAGCAGTAAGAGCATTAGTTGAAGTAATTAGCAAATACTCTGAGGTTTTAGTAAGGTCTGTGCATACTTCTCAATTCTTTCCACCTTGATGTAGAGCTGTCATACCTTTGTCTCTGTTCCTACTATTGATAATTTATTTTTTAGTGCCTTTGAAGATATTGACCCTTCTGCCTACCAAACTGTTTTAAGCAATATGAGAGTGGTAGTGGTCATAAATGAATAACAGCATGTACAGTTCCAACAAGGTTGTTAAAGCATATAGTTTTGTCTATTTCCCAAGTCATCTGACCATGGGTGTGTGGTCATTTAGTTGCAAACCATTTATTTCCATGGTCTCTGCTTCCACTATCCAGTTATCTGTTGTCTTTGCTACTATGCTCTGATCACTTATCTTTCATCTCTCTCTCTCTCTTTTTTTTTTTTTTTAAGATTTTACTACTCAGCAATCTCTATACCCAATGTGGGGCTTGAACCCACAACCCTGAGATCAAGAGTTGTATGCTCCACCAACTCAGCCAGCCAGGCGCCCCTGTCCTTTCCTTTTTAATAGAACCTCATTTTATACTCTATGAACTATTTCCTTCCATTTTCTTTTTTAAATAAAAGATATAAGTGTTTTAAAAAAAATTCAACAATACAGAAGTATGATAAGTCAACGTATATCAGTTGTGAAGTAACAGCTATTTAAAGTTTGGCGTGTTCTTGTCAGACTCCTTTACATTTTATACATTTTTTTCATTTTATACGTTTTTCAAATGTGTACAAACACATACAGTTGTACATGTGTGTTTTATGTATTTTCTATTATCTTCTTAAATAGAAACCATATCCTACATGAGTGGTTTTTTTAAACCAAAGGCTGAGGTACGTTAGTTGGATGTAATAGTTATATAGTGGGCTGCAAACAGCATTTAAAGAAAAAAATAATAGAATGGGAAACTCATTTACAAAGTAAGGTTAACTATCATTGAATTTTTGTTTTAGTTATATGTGTGTGTGTGTGTGTGTGTTATGGGTCTCCGTGTATTTCATATTGTGTGCTACAGTCAAAAATGTTTCAAACTGAAAGCAACTGCCTTACATGGTATTCTGTATTTCATTTTTTCATTTCCCATGACATTTTGGGCATATAGTTTTTTCTTTGGTCAGTATATATATAGATCTGACTTATTCTTTAAAAATAACTGTTCGGTATTCCATTGTGTATATATGTGCGTATATACACATGACATAAGTACATACACATAACATAATTCAGTTTTCCCCTTTTAGTAGATGTTTGAGTTATTTGATATTAGCAATGCAATAGTGAAGATCTTTGTTACATAATTTTGTATGTGTTAGTATTACTGTGGGATTGATAGTTGGAATTGGGTCAGAAGATACACACGTTTTGAATTTTGGTCAGTCTTGCTAATTTGCCTTCCAAAAAGAATGCCAATATGAATTTTTGCTCTCATTGTATTAAAGTGCTCATTTTCCCCATACTTTTCCATATTGTTGGACTTTTTCATCTTTAAATGCATGATAGTGGAAATTGGTGTATTCTGATTTGCACTTCACTCATTACTGATGAAGGATACTCCTATGTATGTTTACTGGCCATTTGAATCTTAATTCCTTATTCATAATATTTGATCATTGTTTCTTCATCTATTTTTGAGACAGCTTTATATATTGTGGATATTAACTCTTTTGGGTTGTATGGTAGAGTTTTACTTGAACTTTTTAACTTATCCAAATTCTATCATATATATTTTACAAGAAATAAAAATTAAAAAGCTGTAGTTTTTTGTGTAGTGTGAACCCTAAACTTAAGCAGAATATGTCATCTGACATCAGTGTTCTTTTCTAATCCTGGAGGTAAAATTAGCTTTGGCGTGGGTAAATTACAAGCTTTTTCAAGGGTAGTTTTGACCCTAGACAGTTTGTGAACCATAAACCTAAAGCTCAGGTAAGATGCTACTTTAATGTCTGTTACAGATATTTCCACCAAGTGTTTAAGTTTACCATTTAATTTTATGGTATCGTCATGTTCAAGTTTTATTTTATTTTTATTTTACTTTTTTTTAAGATTTTATTTATTTATTTGACAGAGAGAGACACAGTGAGAGAGGGAACACAAGCAGGGGAAGTGGGAGAGGGAGAAGCAGGCTTCCCGCGGAGCAGGGAGCCCGATGTGGGGCTTGACCTGAGGATCCTGGGATCATGACCTGAGCCGAAGGCAGACGCTTAACAACTGAGCCACCCAGGCGCTCCACATGTTTTATTTTTATGTGGTTAAAGTTGTCATTCTTTCCTTTTTGGCTTCTAGGTCTTGCAGGTTATTAGCAGTGCCTTCTCCTATAGTCCCAAGTTATATAATGTCGTATAGTTTTTTCTAATGCTATCATCATCTCTTCCACGATAATGTAATTTCTCAGCCTTTTTGTTTATTTGAATATGTTCAGTTTTCCTTAAGTAGTTCTACTTCAGAGACAACAGATAACATTTTTACTGCTGTAATATATCCCTCATTCATGCTTTGTTTGTATAAACTAAAACCCAAATACAATCAGTAAAGAATTTTACACCTCCAACCTTAGCAGCAATAGATCATGTAGGGAAATGAAAGTTCTGTGAACCACCATGCATACACTGGTGGAATTCTTTGATGGTCACCTCTGCTAAAGTAGACTTTAGGCTTTGAGAGCAGGGTGTCTTAAGATGTTATATGTAAATACCCACGTTCATGAACTCTGCATTTCATGGTATCACAAGGAGAATAGCACTGTAGCTTTGGGTGATGTCTTTTTGGGGGCACTAACTAAGTGGGTATTCTTTGCACCTTTTTTTTGAGTGATGGAGATTCATACTCCTTTTATTTTGAGTGATAGAGATTCAGACTCCTACCTCAGCAAAGGTAAAATTTCCTATAAGAAATTTTCCTATAAAACATTTTATGTTATTCTTTGGTGTGTGATATTTTCCCACCTGATGTGCTCGGACTAAGGAACATTCATTAAATCATGGGAGTATAAGTTTCTGATTTGACAGTGATATTAACTGTCATTGGCACTATCAATAGTATGGCATTTTCTTGGTAGTTACTTGGTAATATTAAGAAATTTTAGTTCTTAAAAATTTTCCATGAAGTAATAAGTTTAAGGGTACATCTAGTAAAGTTCATTGTTGATAAGGTATACGCAGAAAAATTTACCCAAAGTAATAGATACCATAAATAAAATTAAATTTTAATGTTTATTGGAAGATCTCAAAAGGAATATAACCATTTTCGCTTTTCTCTTGAGTATCCTTGGAGTTTCTAGGGCCACTATTACCATGGTGCTCCCCATATATCTGCTTTATGATTCCTACAACTAATTATAAATACACCACATTTTATAAATTGACATTATCTTTCATCAGAGTGTCCCTTAACTTGTGGACTATTAGTAGGTCTTTTCATTAAACATAAAAATCCATTTACATAATAGGAGATAGCTCTGGATAAAATGCGTATTTTTCCGTTAATAAATTGCAACAGTATGCAGACAGGTCACTTTATGACAGTCTCTTTCCAGGTCACCTGAACCTCCCAATGCCTTTTTTATTCTTTTTTGGCTTATTGAAGTAACAGTGGTTTTTAGACTGTTTCATGGTTCTTCATCAAGGACTGCTACAAAGGTGAGGGAAATACACACCCACCCAGATGAGAAATTTTTGTCCATTTTATTTTTTTAAAAAGATTTCATTTATTTGTTTGTCAGAGAGAGAGAGTGTGCACAACAGGGGGAGCAGGCAGAGAGAGAAGCGGGCTCTCCACTGAGCAAGGATCCTGATGCTGGACTTGATCCCACCTGGGATCATGACCTGAGCCAAAGGCAGATGCTTAACTGACTGAGCTACTCAGGCGTCCCTGTCTGTTTTATATATTTGGGTTTCTTCTAAGTTTTTGTTCAGGGGGTAAAGAGGTATTTGTTACCTGGAAAAATAAAGAATTCTGAAATTTGTGCTGTAAACTATGTCCTTCAAGGAAGTAATTTCAGTTTTTCTTGGAATTTTCACCAATTTCTAATGGTTTGCAACTTTATTTTATTTATTTATTTATTAAAGATTTTATTTATTTGTATGACAGAGAGAGACACAGCGAGAGAGGGAACACAAGCAGGGATAGCGGGAGAGGGAGAAGCAGGCTTCCTGCAGAGCGGGGAGCCCGATGTGGGGCTCGATCCCAGGACCCTGGGATCATGACCTGAGCCGAAGGCAGACGCTTAACGACTGAGCCACCCAGGTGCCCCTGGTTTGCAACTTTATTTTTTTTTTTTTTTTTTTTTAAAGATTTATTTATTTATTTGAGAGAGCGAGAATGAGAGAGAGAGAGAGTACATGAGAGGGGGGAGGGTTAGAGGGAGAAGCAGGCTCCCCGCCGAGCAGGGAGCCCGATGCGGGACTCGATCCCGGGACTCCAGGATCATGACCTGAGCCGAAGGCAGTCGCTCAACCAACTGAGCCACCCAGGCGCCCCTGGTTTGCAACTTTAAAAGGAGTCTTATTTCCTATTCTAAAGCTGGGCTTTGGGAGAAATAATCCCTTCGCTACATTGTTGTCTTCTTGTTATTAATGAGGTTATACAGTTAAGGAATGTTACCCTCACTAATTTATATTGTATGGATTCTCGGAGTATAGACTTCCTGTCTTTTTTTTTTTTTTTTATCGTAAAGCAGTTTGTATTCGATTTTTTTTTTTTTTTTTTTAAGATTTTACTTATTTTAGAAAGAGAGTGCAAGCAGGTGCAGAGGGAGAGGGAGAGAGAATCTCAAGCAGGCTCCACACTGAGTGCAGAGCCCAGTGGGGGGGCTCGATTTCACAACTCTGAGATCATGACCTGAGCTGTGAAATCAAGTCTCGGAAGCTTAACTGACTGAGCCACCCAGGTGTCCCTCGATATTTTTGACCTCTAAGTATTATATCTTTGAAATGATTTTATCGCTCAAGATGCATTGTTGGCGTTAAAAGGAACTTTAGATCTTCTAAATTGCCAGTAACTTTTTGAGGAGGAGGTGATGGAAATTTTTAAAAAATTTTTATGCCAGTAATTTATTCTAAATAAATTTGTCCCATTTTCACTGCCACAACAAGATCCATAAGCAAGATTCATTAGGCTTTAAAACATAAGTTTCTGCAGTGGGTTTCCCCTTGGTGAAAAAATAAGTTTTTATTCCATCCGGTCTGATTCATAATGAAACTTGAGTCTGCTCGGTAAGCACATCACAAGGCATTTAGCTTTTCTTTTCTTTTTAAGTTTTATTATTTAAGTAATCTCTGTACTCCAAGTGGGACTCTAACTCATGACCACAAGATCAAGAATTGCACACTCTTCTAACTAAGCCAACCAGGTGCCCCCATTTAGCTTTTTATAAAACAAAATATTTGTCTTGGTGTAGTTTGCATGAGATGGTATATTTGAAAGTATTACTTTTGCTGTTCAAAGATGTCTTGGGTTTGGTTTTCTATAGTTTAGCCTATAAGTTAGTCAAAAAGATGACATTGTGTTTGGTTCATCTTCATATTTTGACTTGCAAATACTGAGATTTAAGGAGACTTGATTATTTTTTAATTCTTTCAAACTCTATTTCTATAGTGTAGCAATTAAGAACCCTGATTGTATTGTCAGATGCACCAGTGTTTGAACCTCATTTTCACCATTTACTACATTTGTGACATTGAACTGATTACTAAACCCTCAGTTTTCTCATCTGTTAAATGTGGATATTTCCTGCTTCAGGCTTATGAAGATTAAGTGAGATACTAGCTAATATTTAATGAGTATTAGTATCTACCAGTCCTCTTGTAAATACTTAATATGTGTGTTTATTCATTTTAACCTTAGGATAGATATCTGTGTATTACTATCTCATGTTATAGTTGAGGAAACTGAAGCACAGTGAGGTTAAGTATTTTGCCTCTGATGTATATAATGTACTCAGCACAGTACCTGGCAATAATTAGCATTTACTGTATTACATACTCTTGTTGAAATGAGTGGTCATTATGAAGTTTCCAAATGTATTATATTTTTAAGTAACTGACCTCTGGCATAACATTCAAAGGATCTCCTGTGGCGCTTTTTCTTTCCTCTTGTCTCCATAGCTCTTGGTGCTGGACAGGCATCTTTGTTTGGGAACAACCAACCTAAGATCGGAGGGCCTCTTGGTACAGGAGCCTTTGGGGCCCCTGGATTTAATACTACGACAGCCACTTTGGGCTTTGGAGCCCCCCAGGCCCCAGTAGGTAAGTGTCAGTCACTTTAGAAGGCTTTACTCAGTTTATTTCTTGCTAATACTTGACTTGGTGACCTGATTTTCCTCCCAGTCTATCCCACCCCTACCAAAGCAGTACACAGACGCACATCATTAAACAGTCATGTGGTGCAGAAGGGCTTGTGATGGATCCTGGCCTTTTCCACTTCCCCACTCCCATGCCTTGTCCCCTAAAGAGACTGCTTTGTTATGGCCACTTTGTTTCCTGATACGTAGTTAAGTTCCTATCTCTAAATGATGTGCTTATGTTGCTTTGTTTTGCTTTATTTATTAAGTCTTAAATAAATTTAACTTGTTAATGGTAGATGAGAAATAGAGCTCACTTATCACCTACTTCTGTGTTCTTTATTCACTTCTCCTAATATAGCTATGTTACTAAATACCCTAAGTTTAGTTTTATCTACTGGAGTGTTTTTCATACTTCGTTCATTTGAATACCCTTTCGTAGTTTTTGCCCTCTCTGCCTCCTACGTCTGTCATTATTTTTAAATTAAAATTAACTTTTTAGCTTAAATACCTTTTTAAAAGAAATCTGTTCTGTTGGAGATAAAAAACTGTTACCACCTGGCATAAATAAGAGTAACTGAGTGAATGAGAGAGAGCAAGAGAAAGATGTACCATGAAGTTCATCTCCCATACTATCATGATCCGTGTACCACATTTGGATAAGCTTTTTGCAAATTTAAGCCGTGTCCCTACATACTTTTTCTTGTTCTGTCAACTGAGAGTATTTCTTGAGTCCTCTTGATCAAGTAAGGGTATTAGTGCCCTTTCTTACCCTTCTTTTTTCCTCATTTCTTCTTTTGCCATCTTTATATTTTCATATTGAAAGTGATGATAATGTATTCTGTCCTATAATTATTACCGTCATCTTTTCTCTGATTAAAGAATAATTTAAAAGTTGTAAAGGTGAACACAGCGTATTATTACAACTATGAAAACATTGCTGCCCAGCCACATATACCTTTTTTATACAGCTTTTTCATTCTAGAATTTCTAATTCTTTTTTCCCCTTGGATTACCAGTCCTTATCACCTTCCTGAACTGGTCCAAATTCTTAAGGATGGTATCAGAATTCTTTTACCCTGAATATGTCACTCATTGATCCCTCTGTCCTTCCTCCTGCAGCAGTATGAACTCTGATTATTCCCTAGGCCTTCAGCATTGCTCTCAGTATTGCCTTCAGGGCTACTCAGTGGGAACTCCTCTGTCCTAGGTGTAGGTTTTTCCCTTTTATTTATTTCCTGAATTGTCTGGAATGTGTTTTTAAGTAAAGTGTATATGAAGGGTAAACTTCGATCACTTATAGGTCTGAAAATACCTTTTTTTGTTCCTCATGCTTTAATGTTATGGAATTCTAGTGTGAAAATAATTTATCCTCAGAACTTGGACTATATTCCTTGCATTAACCATTATGTGCTGTGAAGTCTAATGCTTTTCTGATTCTTGAGATGTGTTCAGCTGCTACCCCCACAGGCATTTAGGATGGTCCCTTTGTCCTGAAATTTCACTGAATTGCTTATACCCTATCTTTTTTGTTTGTTTGTTTTTTAGAGTGGGGGAGGGGCAAAGGGAGAAGGAGAGAGAATCTTAAGCAGACTCCACACCCAGCCCAGAGCCCGACATGGGGCTCTGTCTCACAACCCTGATCATGACCTGAGCCAAAATCAAGAGTCAGACAGTTAACCAGCTGAGCCACTCAGGTGCCCCCTTTCTAAATGCTTGATTTTTAAGCTGTGTTTCTACTTTTTAGGAGATTTCTGAATGTCTTCTAAATCATCATCGTTTTGGATTTTTATTTTCAACTTAGCAAGAATTCTTTCTCATTCTCTGACAGTTCCTTTTCTCAAGCATCTGGTTCTTAGATGTAATTTTTTCTTGAAACTTTGTTAATTGGCATTAAAAAAATTTTTTTAGGACTTTTCTGTGCCTTAAATCTTCAGGATTATTTTTGCTTTGGTCCTACTCTTTAATGCTCTGTGATCTTTACCATTCATATTCAAGAATAAAATAATAAAAAGCTCACTGGCAGTTTGTGTATGCGTAGAGCTTGTTTACCAGTAAGTTTCACTTTAAGGTAAGTAGTCCAGGAACCAGCTATTATCTAAGGGTCCTCTGATTGTTATATTCTTAGCTCTGGGATGATGCAAGTACTGAAACAAGTTGTCCTTGTTCTTTCCATATGTTAATTTGGTTTCATCAGAGGCACAGTCTCTGATGTTTGGCTTATCTCTTGAGGATCAGGGATTAGGAAGGATGAAGGTATGGGTGTTTGTATATGTACTTTGCATTGGTTCATCTCTCCTGCTTTCAGTCTCACTTCATCAAACTTGGTATCATTGAATCCCTAATCTTTCTGGGATTCTACAGGGCAGATATGCTCCACTTTGGGCTGTAATCCCCTATGAATGTACTCTAAGCTATCCTTTGCTGTATCCTGCTTTGTCACTCCTCTGTCCACTTCTTTCCCCTAGAAATTTGTTATATTTTCTCTTCTGTTCGTTTGTTATGTCCCATTCTTTGTCATTGTGGGTTATATAGATATATTTTAATTTGTTTTAAACATAGATTTAACATAGGGGCACCTGGGTGGCTCAGTTGGTTAAGCATCTGCCTTTGGCTCAGGTCATGATCCCGGGGTCCTGGGATTGAGCCCTGCATCCGGCTCCTTGCTCATCGGGGAGTCTCCTTCTCCCTCTCCCTCTGCTCCTCCTTCCCGTTCGTGCGTGCACACTCGCACGCTCTCTCTTTCTCCCTCTCACTCACTCTCCTCTCAAATAAATAAATAAAATCTTTTTTAAAAAACAGATTTTACTTAGATCTTTGGTTTGGAGGTGAATTAGAATTCTAATTTGTGTGAACATTAGAATAAGCTTTATCATTAAAAGTGATATTTTCACTTTTATTTCTTTTCTTTAGTTTTAGTTGTTTTCAGTAGGAGGACATACCATAAATATTGTAACCTGCCATTTTTACCTGGATAGTGTTTTGAATAGTTTGGGTTTTTAAAATTTTTTTATTTATTTATTTAAGTAATTTCTACACCCAGCGTGGGATTTGAACTCAACCCCGAGATTAGGAGTAGCATGATCTTCTGACTGAGCCAGCCAGGCACCCTTTGAATGGTTTTTGATAATGCATCTTTTTCTGAAGTCAATTAAAAGTTCCTGATATAAGCATTTAATACTACAGTTACATATGGTACTGTTACCACACATTTAAAAGTAGCCGTATTGCCTTTTAGAATGTACATCTTTGTATCATAGGATGTTAGTTGGAAGGTGCTTTAGTGCTTATGTGAGTCCTCTCTTACTGTGGGAGTTCTCAGTTACAGTTTTCCAAGTCATTCTGGTCCATTGTTTTGTTCAGGTTGTTTAGAAACCAAAACATGCCTCCCTAGAATTTCCACTCAGTGGTTCTACTTTTACCTCCTAAGCTAAGCAAACCAGTCTGGTACAGTTTCTTTGCAGTAACCCTATTGTCCTTCTTCCAGATAAAATATCATCAGGTTTTTCTATTCTCAGACTTTATTTTTTATACTTTTTCCTGTGCCTTTAATCATTTGGTCATGATGTGGCTTTTCAGTATGTTTTCAAATTATTGTGACCGGAATTGACTGTAACACAAATGGTAGCTTAACTAGTGCTTATGCTTGATTGTTCTCTTATTTTTGCTAACATACCAGCTCTCTTATCTGTATTTTTAAATAATACAGTTAACTTAGAGAATATTTCATATTTAAGCATACAAAAATAAAAACATCCTGTTCACACACTTTCCTAATTACGTTCGGATTTGTTAAAGGAGTTCTTATTCTTTTGAGTAAGCCCAGATGGGGTGACCTATTATACTTGTTAATGATGGGATCAGCTGGTACATGTCAGTGTTATTTTTAATGCATAATTGCCTGTCAAGTAATAGACTGACTAGTGAATATTAGAATTCTTACAAAAACTTCCAGGTTTTCTTGAGTCTCCTTGAATAGTCCATAGAATAACATTTATGCTATTGTTGTGTGGCACTCTGTACTGAAGCTACTTTTTTATATTTTTTTTCCTCACTGATACTTAAATTGGATTTAGGAACATCATACGGATGATTTGCTATATGCTCTTTAAATTGACATCTCCTCTGGGTTTCACAGTCTTGAGCAAACTTGTACTTTCCCCTTACATATTAGCATACAGTTTTAGTTGTTTTTTTTTTTTTTTTTAAAGATTTTATTATTTATTCATGAGAGAGAGAGAGAGAGAGGCAGAGGGAGAAGCAGACTTCCCACAGAGCAGGGAGCCTGATGCGGGACTCAATCCCAGGACTCTGGGATCATGACCTGAGCCGAAGGCAGACGCTTAACCATCTGAGCCACCCAGGCGCCCACAGTTTTAGTATTTAATTAATACATCTGATTTTAAGAAAGCTTAATTTGACTAAGGTGGATTTACCCCTTTTTCGTTACTTAAGCTTTAGCTCTGTTCTGGGTTTGTTGTTGCTGCTGTTGCTGTTGTGCTTTTTTTCTCCCTGTTGTATTAAAATTTTCCAAATGTTTTGATTGAGGGATTCCTTCATTGTGGATTATCTTATTATGTTTTGGCATTAGCCTTGTTTTAAACACTTATAAAGGAAAAAAGTGTTTTAATCGCTAAAATTATTTAGGTGTGATTTTATTATTATTTTTTTTAATCATTTGGAACTATTTTGCAAAGAGGTTTCTTCATCAATCAGGGTATAATGCAGATAGTTGTGGGGGTTTTCTTGTTTATTTTTTACTGTGTGTGATATAGATCATCATTCCTTTTCTGTTCCCTAAATTCTCTGTGACTAATGACATGTTTTTACACTTTAAAAGAAAATTAGACTAATTGGAGTGATATTTTTTCTTTCAATTTTTACTTGAATATGAATATTAAATGTAAATAATAAACATATAAGGACACCTTTACAGCCATTTTCATTTTTTGTATTCCACTTTCTTCCTCAATAGTCTTAGTATACTTAATATTTTTTATTCTGGAATTTTTACTTACTAAATTAAATCAAAGATACTTCCTTATTTCCACCGTGAAACACATTGTTATTATTTTTAATAACTATTTAACCCACCATGTTGATGTATCATGATTTTTACAACTATTAATGTTGGGTATAGGTTGTTTTCAAGTCCTAACAATTATAGATAATATTTATTGAATATTTATAAACATTTCTTTGTTTCTAGTTTGTTTAAACCCTTGGGTTAAATTTCCATGATTGATATGAGTAGGTTAAAAAATATAAAAACAGTATTTGCTTTATGTACTGTTGTTGTTTCTTTTAGACAGAGTAAGTCAATTTATAATGTGTCTGGAAGTCAAAGACTATAATTCTTTTGATACAGCTGATACATATACAACTAATAGATAATGAGGTAGATATAAAATATTTCTTCAAGGTTGTTTAAATTGCATTTCATTGATTATTAGTGACAACAAACACCTAAGTAAAATTTTTTGTGTGTTGTCTTTTATGAAATGCCTCTTCGTATCTTTTACCCATTAGTTTATTTGGTTGTTGATTTTCTTCACAGTTTGCTCCTCTGCTCTCCACCAATAATGCCATTGAGTGAGTCTGAACATTTTGAAGACGTCTCCAAAATGATTCTGTGTTCTCTTGCTCTAATTGCATTGGATCCCTGGACTGACATCTTCCTTTCTCTTTTCTTTTTTTCCAAAAAGCTTTGACAGATCCCAATGCTTCTGCTGCCCAGCAAGCTGTTCTCCAACAGCACATCAATAGTTTAACGTACTCACCTTTTGGAGACTCTCCTCTCTTCCGGAATCCCATGTCAGACCCTAAGAAGAAAGAAGAGGTAAATTTAAGGATGCTTTTTTTTTTAATATTTATTTTTTTATTCTTATGTTAATCCCCATACATTACATCATTAGTTTTAGATGAAGTGTTCCGTGATTCATTGTTTGTGCATAACACCCAGTGCTCCATGCAGAATGTGCCCTCCTCAATACCCACCACCAGGCTAACCCATCCTCCCACCCCCTTCCCCTCTAGAACCCTGTTTGTTTTTCAGAGTCCATCGTCTCTCATGGTTCGTCTACCCCTCCGATTTTAAGGATGCTTTTGTAAAGTTTATTCTCAGATCAAGAGAAACTAAATGTGGAGAATATAATTTCTTAATATATAGCTTAAGCAGAGTTAGATGTAATTAAGTTTTTAAGACACATTATTTGTGCTTTTCACTGAGCCAGGAGATACATTATGTTTGCTGTATCTGGAAGGCAGCATGACTAAAATAGTGAAATGAACACTGGACTGAAGGTGAGGGCTGAGACTTTTCAGTAACCCTGAAATAAGGCATATCTTATTATTCCCATTTTATAGTTGAGCAAACTAAGGCTCAGAGAGGCTGATTTTCTGAAAATCATAATATTCTTTTTTTTTTTTTTTTTAAAGATTTTATTTATTTGACAGAGAGAGACAGAGTGAGAGAGGGAACACAAGCAGGGGGAGGGGAGAGGGAGAAGCAGGCTTCCTGCAGAGCAGGGAGCCCGATGCGGGACTCGATCCCAGGACCCTGGGATCATGACCTGAGCTGAAGGCAGACGCTTAACAACTGAGCCACCCACGCGCCCCTGAAAATCATAATATTCTTAAGTGGCATATCAGTATCTTTTCTCCTGGTTTCTACAGTTAACTTTGTCTTAATTTTTTATGCTCTAGTGTCAAAGAAATGATCTTCTGCTCACTGTGGTGTGGGTTAAAAGTAGGCTTTGGTCTGTTTAATCCTTGTGTTACCATGTATAATGAGCATGTCTTTCTGCTTCTGAATGTGTTTCTTCATCTGTAAAATGGGGATAGTAATACTCTTTAATCTTGAGAATTAAGTGAGATAATGCATACCTGGCTTATTTATAATAAGTTGGTTAGTCTACAGGTACTATTGCTCAGTTATTTATGTCATCTCGTTTCTCCCTCACTGGTTTTTTGAATTAACCCTATAACTAGATATAAAGATAAGATAGGAATCTAAAGTGCTTTTTAACATGCTGCATAAATACAAGTTTTGCTTAGATGAAAAGTTTGTGTGGGACATCTAGGTGGCTTGGTCAGTTAAGTGTCTGACTCTTGATCTCAGCTCAGGTCTTGATCTCAGGGTTATGAGTTCAAGCCCTGCATTGGGCTCCATGCTGGGCATGGAGCCTACTTTAAAAAAGAAAAGAAAATTATGTGTTATTTGTGCAGCATAATTATAGGCCTAAATATGTGCTAGTCACTGTGTTCAGTACTGAGGATACAAAATGAAAACAAGAACTTATCTTCTAAGAGCTTGCTATTTATTTAGTCAGAAGATTGGATCTGACAGGGTGCCTGGGTGGCTCAGTCGTTAAGCGCCTGCCTTCCGCTCAGGTCATGATCCCAGCGTCCTGGGATCGAGCCCCGCATCGGGCTCCCTGCTCGGCGGGAAGCCTGCTTCTCCCACTTTCACTCCCCCTGCTTGTGGTCCTCTCTCGCTGTGTCTCTCTCTGTCAAATAAATAAATAAAATCTTTTTAAAAAAAAAAAAAGATTGGATCTGTTAATGTGTGTTTTTGGGTTTTTTTTTAAGATTTTATTTATTTATTTGACAGAGACAAAGCGAGAGAGGGAACACAAGCAGGGGGAATGGGAGAGGGAGAAGCAGGCTTTCCGTGGAGCAGGGAGCCCGATGCAGGGGCTCGATCCCAGGACCCTGGGATCATCACCCAAGCCGAAGGCAGACGGCTTAACGACTGAGCCACCCAGGCGCCCCTGTTAATGTGTTTAAATTTACTCAAGCTCAATATAGTAAATACAGTAATAAAATAGCCCATTAGCGGGTGAATGGATAAACAAAATGTGTGTGTGTGTATATATACACACATATATATGATGAAATGTCATTCAGCCATAAAAAGGAATGAAGTACTGATAACGTGCTACATACAACATGGGTGAACCTTGAAAACATTATGCTGGGTGAAAGAAGGCAGACACAAGAGGCCACATGATTCCATTCATATAAAATGCTTAGAATAGGCAAATTTATTGAGACACAGATTCATGTTTGCCTAGGGAAACTGGAATTGGGAGGCACAACATTTCTTTTTGGAGTGAGGGGAATGTTCTGGACTTACATAGTGGTGATTCTTTTTTTTTTTTTTTTTTTTTAAGATTTATTTATTTGAGAGAGAGAGAATGAGAGAGAGAGAAAGCACATGAGAGGGGGGAGGGTCAGAGGGAGAAGCAGACTCCCCGCCGAGCAGGGAGCCCGATCATAGTGGTGATTCTTGCATAACTTAGTAGATATACTAAACCCCCCTGAAGAGTTTGCGTTAAAATGGTGAATATTATGTTAAGGAAGAGCGTAGACTTTTGGGTGAGTTTGATAAGGCTTTGCAAAAGAGGTAACATTTAACTTTTTTTGAGTATATATGGAGAAGTTGGTAGATCTAGGTTAAGACATTCCAAGCAATGACACACAATTGTGAGAGATCACAAAAAAGATCTAGGAATGTTCATTGTTGCTGAAGTATAAACAGTTTGCATTGTAAAGAGAAACATAAACTGTGACAGGGTTTTATATGTTAGACATTGTTGTTTCAAGTGGTTATATAATCCCATGTATAATGTTTAGTAGGAAAACAAATGTATAACATCCAGCAGATGTTACAGAAAATAATAAAGGTGCCATCAAAATCAACCTAAAGTCTTATTTTAGTTGTATGTCTCTTCTACTAACTTGTAATTTCCTCAAAAATCAGGGAAAGTGATTTCATTATTTTTATTGCCAGTACTTAGCGTTTGACTCATGGCAACTACCAATGTTTACTAAATACTGAATACATGCCAGCTAATAACCATTTTTTAAAGAGTGATTTGGATTGCACAGTTGAGTATTCATGGTGCATCTCAGTTTATTTTGAAGTTAAAGATTTTTGGTTTAGTTGAAAAATACACAGAGGTATCTAGTTGGATAAATGGCAAAGACATTTGAATTATGTTAAGATTTTTTTTTAAGGCCAAATAATGCATTTGAGTTAAACTGGAATTTTCCTTGATGCTTTTGTTTTTCAGAGATTGAAACCAACAAATCCAGCAGCCCAGAAGGCTCTCACTACACCTACTCATTATAAACTAACACCCCGCCCTGCCACCAGAGTTCGACCAAAGGCTTTACAAACAACAGGCACAGCCAAGTCACATCTCTTCGATGGGCTGGATGATGATGAGCCATCATTAGCCAATGGAGCATTCATGCCCAAGTGAGTTTATTTTTGTTAACATAAATTAAAAGTAAATATTAATTTAAACTAAGTACAAAATAATATGTATTTACCTAAATGTAGTACAAATGTTGTAAATTTAGGTTTTTGTTTGCTTAAGGATTTATCTGTTTATCTATTTATTTTAGAGAGAGAAAGAGAGCATGGACATGCTCGAGTAGGGGAAGGGGGTAGAGGGAGAGAATCTTCAAGCAGACTCCCCACTGAGCACGGAGCCCAAACCCCGGAAGCTTGACCCGGGGCTCTGTCCTGTGACCCAGGAGATAGTGACCTGAGCCAAAACCAAGAGTCAGACACTTAACCGGCTGAGCCACCCAGGCGCCCCTGTTTTTAATTTTAAAAATAGAGAATATCACAAATAATAAAAGTGGCCTGATCGTTCTTCAAGGATAACCATGGTTAACATAAAAATATTTTTACTGTTCTACTAATATGCAGGTTTTTTTGTTTTATTTTGAGATTTTAGTGCTTACATAATTTTAAGCAGAAGACACTTTTTTCTTAAAACTTACATTGGCCAAACCAATTCAGAATATCTCTACGTAATTTTATGTGTGGAGCCTGTTTTCCTCTCCCTCTCCCTCCAGCTCACGCTCACTCACTCTCTCAAATAAATAAATAAAATCTTAAAAAAAAAAAATAGGTATATATATATATAGTGGGCTGGTACTTCAGAAAAAATGGAAAGTCCAATTTTATACATTTCTTAGCACATAATTGGACTATTTTGAAGTCAGGGACAGTGTATTATTCATGTTTATGTCCCAGTATTTAGGAATTTTTTTGGCACAGAAAGGATTAGGGTGGGAAGGTATACATTTTGCTAATAGTACCACCTCTATCTCCTTCCTGGCTTCCACTTCTGCGTTCTTCCTCTCAACAGTCTTTGCTTAATAGATCAGAACTATTTTAGAGAGTTCGTCTCTCTTTCCTTGATTCTTCACTTGGCTTGCAGGAACCCCATAGCCCCCTGGTTTTCTTCCTACTGTATTGGTTGCTCCTTCTGTCTCCTTTGCTGGTTCCTCTTCTCAGCCTTTTAAAATTGGAATGCCTCTGAGCTTAGTTCTTGATCACATTTTCTTTACTGTCTCCCAGAGTGATTTAATTTAGTTTCATAGCTTTATATGTCATTTATAGTCATTTATAGTCTGATGATTTCTTTTCTTTTCTTTTTTTTTTTTTAAGATTTTATTTATTTATTTGACAGAGAGAGACACAGCGAAAGAGGGAATACAAGCAGGGGGAATGGGAGAGGGAGAAGCAGGCTTCCCGCAGAGCAGGGAGCCCAATGTGGGGCTCGATCCCAGGACCCTGGGATCATGACCTGAGCCGAAGGCAGACGCTTAACGACTGAGCCACCCAGGCGCCCCTAGTCTGATGATTTCTAACCTTTAATCTCCACCCCAGACTTTTCTCCCAAACTCCACAGATTTTTATATCCAGCCCCACCCAACATCTCCACTTGGATGTCTAAAAGACATTTATTTCAAAATCAACATGGCCAACACTGAACTCCTAATCTTCTACCTCAAACCTGTTCCATCCATAGCCTACCCTATCTCAGATAACTGTGTTTCCATCATTCTAGTTGTTCAGGCCAGAAACTTTGGAATCATCCTTAACTTCTTTCATATATCCCACATCTGAAGCATCAGCAAATCTTCTTTGTTGAACCTTCAAAAATTACCTAGTATCTGACCAATTTACCTCTTTCACTGCTACTCACTACCCTGATCCAAGCTTTCATCATCTTTTTCTTTTTTTTCCCCAAGATTTATTTTTAAGTAATCTCTGTACACAATGTGGGGCTTGAATTCAACCCTGAGATCAAGAGTCACATACTCCACCAGTTGAGCCAGCCAGGCATCCCTCAAAGCCATCATCATCTCTTGACTGAATTACTACAATATTCTCCTGATCTTTCCAGCTTTACCCTTACCCCTTTGCATTCTGTCCTAAATATAGCCAGCACAGTGGTCTCTTTGAAGTGTAAGTCATATCATGTCACTTTTCTGTCCAAAACTCTGTGGTGGTTCATATTTTACTCAGAGTAAAAGCCAAATTCCTTACAGTGGTGTGTAAGGTGCTGTAAGATCTGATCTTGTTTGGTAACTTTCTTGTGAAGACGTTTACTACTCTCTGTTGTTTACTCCACTCTAATTTTAGTGCTTCTTTGCCACTGTTAGGACAGGAAAGGCATGCCGTTGCCTTTCAATCTTTGCCATACTTGTTCTCTTTGCCTGAAACACTTCTCCCTGTAAGTCCATATATTAACCCTCACTGTTTACTCACATATCCCCTCAACGAAGACTACTCTGACCCATCTGTTTAAAATTGCACCCATCTTTTCTCTTGTCAGCATTTCCCACATTCTTATCATCTTTCTTTTCTCTTTTTTCCTCATACCTTCTAATATTTATTTTTTTAAATATTTGTTTTTCGTCTGTTTTTTCCCTCTAGAACATAAGCTCTATATAGGTAGGTACCTTTGCTCCATGTTGGGTATAGGGATTATTTAAAAATAAGTCTTGGGGAAAGAAAGAAAAAGAATGCATCTTAGGAGGCATAAAAGGAGCTAAATAAGAGTATAGAATCCCGGTTATAGGATCGAGGGGCTCCCTCCCTATAGGATATGGAGATCATCTAAGCCAGCGGATAAGAGGGGATGGAGATTGTAAAAGTCTTTTGAGTTTATGCTCTCACCTTGTTAGAATCTAGAATTTAATCTTAACTGTATTTAACTATCTAAAGGAAATGGCATATGCCCCTATTCACTTCCTAACCAAGCCTTGGGCTATCACTTTATACTCTGTAAACAGTTGCCATATAATACCACAGAGGGTAAAGGATTCATGAAGGACTTTAGGAGTATGGCTACCCCTAGAAACAGTATTCTGTTTGCTCTGAAAGATGAATTTGGTAGATTGACAGTGTGAGAACCTTATCAGTGCCGTGTCTTTTTCCTTTTGCCTTTTCATACTAGTCAGAGGAAAGTTACTATAGAGCAAGCTAGTATTTTACTTATTCTGAATGGTAAATTTGAAAATATTCTTTGATTCATCTGTTCCTTCCTTCATTCAACAAACATTTATCAAGTAACTACTAAGTCCCAAGTGTGGTAGGCATTACGAATGCAGCTACGAACAAGACACATTCCTCCATTACTGAATTCACAGTCTGTGAGGGGAGAGAGATGTTGACACTAAGCACAAGTGACAGAGAGCAGTGGTAGAGATTGCCACTGTAGGGGAGACTAATAGGAGAATGATGAAGGAAAGCTGCTCTGAGGATGTGTTATTTAAACTGAAGAGGGAGGGCGCCTGGGTGGCTCAGTCGTTAAGCGTCTGCCTTCGGCTCAGGTCATGATCCCAGGGTCCTGGGATCAAGTCCCACATCGGGCTCCCTGCTCGGCAGGAAGCCTGCTTCTCCCTCTCCCACTCCCCTTGCTTGTGTTCCTGCTCTCGCTATCTCTCTCTCTGTCAAATAAATAAAATCTTTTAAAAAAATAAATAAAAATAAACTGAAGAGGGAGGGGCACCTGGCTGGCTCAGTCGGTCAAGCATGTGACTTTTGATCTCAGGGTTGTGAGTTCCGAGCCCCACGTTGAGCATAGAGATTACTTTATTATTTTTTTATTATTATTATTTTAAAGATTTTATTTATTTATTTGACAGAGAGAGACAGCAAGAGCGGAAACACAAGCAGTGGGAGTGGGAGAGGGAGAAGCAGGCTTCCCACTGAGCAGGGAGCCCGATGCGGGGCTCGATCCCAGGACCCTTGGATCCTGACCTGAGCCAAAGGCAGATGCTTAACAACTGAGCCACCCAGGCACCCCGAGCATAGAGATTACTTTAAAAAAATAAAAATAAAAAAGAGGGATAGGGAGGACTGTTGGGCAGAGGGAATATTTTGCTATGTTTCTGGTTTTAAATATGCCTGTTTTTTTTTTCAAGTGGATATAATGTTATTTTCCAGTATTCCTTTTTTTTTTTTTTTTTAAGATTTTTATTTATTTATTTGAGAGAGAGAATAAGAGAGAGCACGAGACGGGGGAGGGTCAGAGGGAGAAGCAAACTCCCCGCTGAGCAGGGAGCCCAATGTGGGACTCGATCCCGGGACTCCAGGATCATGACCTGAGCCGAAGGCTGTCGCTTAACCAACTGAGCCACCCAGGCGCCCCTCCAGTATTCTTTTGAATGATTGTTTCAGACACGACTTAACTTGACCAAATGGTATTCTATCATGCATTTACCAAATTAGAGCTCTTTTCCATTTACTTAAAATACTAGAAAATACAAGTCATTGGCGATGGTAGAAAGGAGAGATTTTGGAAGGTTCATAACAAGGAGTATGAGGAAACTTTTCGGTATGATGACTATGTTGTTTTTCTGGTTTGTGATAATGGTTTCACTGGTGATACAGAGGACAGAGCTTATCAAATTGTATAATATAGTATGTGCAGTTTACGTCAGTTATGAACTAGTAAATGTAGCAAGGTTTGTGGGATACAAGTTCAATACATAAAAGTCAATTTTATTCCTATGTACCTTTATAGCTATATTCCTATACGCCAGTTGAGGGCAGTGACATAACTATGGCAAAATACATGAATCTGCTACTTATTTTTACTTATGAAGTATTTCATTGTTGAAATAAATCTAGTCTTTGAAGTCACATAGGTTTGCTTTACCACAATAGTGTTTCTTTTTTTTTTTTTTTTTAAGATTTTATTTATTTGAAAGAGAGAGAATGAGAGAGAGCGAGTACATGAGAGGGGGGAGGGTCAGAGGGAGAAGCAGACTCCCCGCTGAGCAGGGAGCCCGATGCGGGACTCGATTCAGGGACTCCAGGATCATGACCTGAGCCGAAGGCAGTTGCTTAACCAACTGAGCCACCCAGGCGCCCCACAATAGTGTTTCTATACTTACGTTCTTTGTACCTGTCTAACTTGATATTCCTGATCTGGTCCTCTTCACTTT